AAATCAACTCAAGCAATCAATAATAAACGACTTGCTGTTGGAAAATCACAAGGTAAGTTTGTTTATTCACTAAAGCGATTGTTTGAAACATTTTCACAAACTATTGTGAAACTTTGAGACGCCGAATAGTTTAATTTCGTTTTTGTTTAGAATCCTTGATTAAGTTTATTTATTTATTTAGACATATAAACATTGGTACATGGAGGCACCAAATATAGATGCGCCACATAAATCATTCGATTTGTGTGAAGGCTCGTATACTACCCGGGTGCCCAGACCGAAACAGGTGGATCTCTCAGGGGGCCACATCCGGAGCCTTTGACCTAAAAGTCTGATGTACAAGGCAGTGGAGCAACTTCAGGAGATCCAGTCTCATGGTAGCCGGTGGCCGAAAATTGGTTTATACGCCATTTGTTCCTCCAGGGTACTGGAGCCCATGTGCACCAGTGGTTTGGAATGAGGGTCTTCCAACTCCCCTAGATGAATCCTCCATGTCTACCAACCCGGTTAAAGCGCCGGACATTCGCTTTTCGTCCTCTCAATTTCGTAAACAACACCCCCCGCCTTGAGAAGGCAGTGGGTAGGACTTCCCTGGTAGAGGCTGTATACTGGTGGCCATGTGAGAGCATTTCGAGAGGGAGGGAGGGTCCACCCCACTCTCGGCCATACCAGGGCATTTGAAGGCATCACGCAAAATGTGCTTTAATCATCAATGTTTAAGAAAAAAAAAAGAGAAATAACCTGTATTATTTTTAATTCTTTTCTTGTAGATATTAAACGACCACGAAAATCACTCAAATAGCTTTTGTACATTCAATGTGTTGATATAATGATTATTATCATTATTGTATAAATATGAAAATGAAAGTTGTATCATTTCTTTTGATAAAATATTGGGTTTTGTTTTTAACGACTTAAATATTTTTTTCGATTATCAAACAAATAGATATTTAGTAGATGAAATTGAAGTGGTAACTTTTAGTAGTTAGGGTGTCCGACTGTTTTTGTTGTTGTTAACCATTAAATCACAGGTTGAAATCCGGCTTCATCTATTTCAGTTTGATCAGCCGAATAATAATTGTTACCTTTTATGGTTACAGTGTTGCTCATTACCTAATATCTGGTGAATGAGGTAATTATTATGTATGACAAAGGAGAAACCGAAGATATCAATATCAATAGTAATGGGAACTATAAACATAGTGAATTTGCAAATGTGATTGGAGAATGAATAATACATGATAATAAGAAGTTCAAAATTTAGGGAGGAAGATAAAAATTAAATATATCTGTTCTACTGGCGTTATCTTTGAACTATCTCATGTGGACATGGAGAGTCCACCTAGGGGAGTTGGAAAACCTTGATTCCAAACCAATGGTGAACATGAGCTCCAGTATCCTGATGGAACAAATGGCGTATGAACCAATCGTTGGTCACCGGCTACCATGGCACTGCATCTCCTTACGATGCTCCACTGCCTTGTGGGTTCGACCTTCAGGTCGAAGGCTCCTTAGTAAAACCACCTGTTCCGGTCTGGGCACTCGAGCAGTATCACAACCCACACACGTATCGAATGAGATTTGTGTGGCGCATATGTATTTGGTACCTCTTTGTACCAATATCTATGTGTTAAAATAAATAAATATCTGTACTCAGAAATTATAATCAGCCTGCAGATTACAGTTAGCAACTCCTCATATTACTAAATGAGTCAGTGACTTAATGAATGTAAACTTTCATATGTCTTGATCTGATCAGTATATTTTTCAATCATATAGACATATAGTTTCACAACTGATTCCGTACTATAATTACTTGTTTGTCATCTATTCACAACTGCATTATTAATTACATGGTTATATCACATATGAACAGTACTTTGAAAATACTTTTGAACAAATACTAGCAACTTACATAAATGTCCCTTGCAAGGCTGTTTCATATCTACAAAGTAACACAGATCGAATCAAAAAGGTATATCGCGTTAGCAGTTCTCTTTTGGATAGGTATCAACCTGAAGTAATAACGTATACTTTGTGGGATTGCTTTTTATGCTTTCAGTCTCAAACAGGCTGTAATACTTATGGACGGTATGTATATATGTATTGTTCACACGTCAACTTCGATAATAGTAGACGTACGTTCATTTCAAAAGAGATATGTGAAATGGTTGAATAAGTGTATTCACGTAATTCGATGTTCATTTATGTATGCATTTTAATACATAAATCTGTGTAAAACTCACGTATTAATCATTGCACGAAAATAAGGGACGAAGTTAAAAGGATTCTTTAACCTATAAAACACATGGATTGTGAGCTAATATTGCTTCAAAACGCTTATCCAATCTAACAAGTCTTCTTTGATTAAATTGTTCTTAAAAGAAATTATTTAACTTTGAAGCATAGTATCAAGACTGCTAGACAATAATCTGAAGAAGACATTGGGTGTTCATGAAATGAATTTGTAACGAGAATCAATATCCTGTGTTGTTAAAGTGAAATCTCCTTGCTATTTTAAAATAATCCCTCCATATGTCGGGATTGAACTAATTAAATCGATCATATTGGAAAAATGGCATTCATGAATCGTTGCTCAACAACGAAATAAAAACTAAATGATAAGAAACTCAGTAAAGCACTGATTCTCACATCCAGTCTCCCGCTTACTTTTTGCTAATTTCGCTTTTCTAAAAGTGGCCAATAGACAGGAACTTCATTTGTGCAGATTAAAGCACACAGACATAAAATTAAAACCCTTTCAATATCCAGTTTTCAACAAACATATTTTCATTGAAATTGTCAACCGATAAATGTTAGACCATCACTGGAAACACAGGACAGTCGTTTCGTCCTACTACAGGACTTCTTAATAGTACACATCCATGAAAACCACGCGGGAGTCGAACTCAGTACCTTCGGTCTCGTATGTGAACGCTTAACATCTACACCACTGAGCTGACGTCTATCGGTGTTAATATCTAACTCCGACCAATCCACAATATTGCGCGACCATTTTCTATTGTCTTTGTTGGGTAACTGCTTCACAACCGACACGTTTGAACTCCACTGGTTTCAGCTTCTCATTAAAACCTCGGGAATTTCCTTTCAAAGCTAGTGACTTGTGGGGGATACCAAAAATCGTAGATGTGCACTGCTGTAGTCCCATGCTAAAACTTTCTGCGTTTCAAATGATGGTTTAGCATTGGTCGGTTTATGATTTCAATGAATCTTAACAATCTCCACAATCCTATGTTGAAAACGGATCTCCAACTACCATAACGATCAAGTGAATTATTATGTATGTGGGACATACTCGGAAACGTTTACAGTGTACATAACAGCACTACATTATAATTATTCACTCAATTGATTTGCGAGTACAACACCAAATCTTAGTAAAAGAGCAACAGAGGATGTAAACGCTAATTGAATGTGGAAAAAAGACAGTAGTCACAAAACAAAAGATAACACTGAAAAAAAAACACAATTCAAGATGGATAGTGGCTAGCAGTGGAATCTAGGATGCGCGTTTCGTCCTATTTGCGACTCGTCAATCGGATGTACCTGCATCCCAGATTTAATGTTCAATGTGGAACTCGGGCCCAGTACCGTTCGCTTCAAATGCCATAACATTATCCACTTAGTTACTGAATCCCAATAGCCACTTGCTTATGCAATATGGTGAAATTTAAATTCACTTGGTACTTTTTTACTTGAACCTTCGCATAATGTGCACATATACCAATAAGAGACGGATCAATTACAGTCCTAAACATCAATGGGAAGATTCAAGTAAACAATACCAAATGAATGAAATAATAATTTAGATATGCATCATTTATATCTATATTCCTCTTATTATAAGCTTCATTTTGACCCATAGATTATTATGATATAATTTACTGTTCTTAAGTTATGTCGAGTTTATTGATTACTGTCTCCCACGTTCACAGTCACATTTTGGTTTGATCATGTATAAATGCTGTTTCCTATTACATGGTGTGATATGGCCTGTTTGGCTGGTAATATAAACCCAGTATGTTTGAAATAAATGACTTGTATAGTGTAAGCTGGTATTGGTATCCTTTGGACTTAGTTGTGAATGGGGTTAGACGAACAAAAGACCAGTTGAACATCATTGGTTTAGTATACAGTACAAGAGTGAATAAGTCATATTTCGATTGGCGAATCAAATTACATGATAACGAACTGGATGGACAAACTTAAAGCAATGATGGATAGTGCCTAGCAGTGGAATCCAGTTCGACGCGCGTTTCGCCCTATTTGGGACTCATCAGCTGGATGTACCTGCATTTCAGAGAGTTGATGTTCACTCTGGGACTCGAACCCGGTACCATCCGCCTCAAACGCCATCGCATTATCCACTCAGCTACTGAGTCCTGATAGCCACTTGTTTGTGCGACGGGGTGAATTTGAATTCACTTGGTATTGTGTTTGGCTTGTATCTTCCCATTGAGGTTTAAGACTGCTGTTGATCAGTCTGTTATTGGCATATGTGCATACTGTGCGTATGTCTCGATATTACCATAATTCACAAGCTATTTGTAAACAATGATGGATAGTGGCTAGCAGTGGAATCCAGTTCGACGCGCGTTTCGTCCTATTTGGGACTCGTCAGCTGGATGTACCTGCATCTCAGAGAGTTGATGTTCACTCTGGGACTCGAACCGCGGTACTATTTGCTTCAAACGCCATCGCGTTATCCACTCAGCTCTACTGATCAATCGCAGTCATAAACCATCTCAATGGGAAGATACAAGCCAAACTTAAAGTTACAATACTTTTCATCATTAAAAAAGTTCTTTTTTATTATTCATTTATAAATGTAATAACAATTTCATTTTTTTATAAAAAAAAAGAAACAGTCTAAAATTACAAAAACAAAATAATGCTGTTCTTAACAAAATAATAATGATTATCAATGGAAGACAGTTTAATCATTGGAAATATGTAAATACGAAAGAGATTGAATTGTACACGTACAAACACACACACACGTAGACGTAGACATACTCTGAGCGTGAAGTGATGCTTGTTTGCTTTTTACAAGTAATAATAATAATAATAGTGTCTATAGTAATTGGATCATTTAAAAGTAGGATTATTTTTTCCTCTCTGTTAAGATCAAATTGGTGGAAGATTTCATGATGTGGAATAAGGTAACATATAAATTAGGCATAGGATGATAAAGTTATATCCGTGTACATTAATATATATCTATATCTATATAATTTGTGAAGTAATAATAATCACAACCGCAGGATTAAAAGAAGCGTGAATAAGATATTCATTGAATAAGTTTAAAATGATTAACATCATATAATGCTATTTAGTATGATAATTCACATTGAATCCGATGAACTTGTCTTATTATGATTCAAATCTGAAGAGAATAATGTAATTAATCGACTTGGTCGAGATTCTAATAGATTATTTAATTTTGTATTCGAATTCGAAAGTGAACCCCAACGTAGATTTGTTAAACTTGATATAGGAATTGGTAATCTATGCCGATGAGATTTTGGACTATATGATCGATAATTATTATAATTTATTTTAAAAGAATCTTCTTTATATTCTTGAGCAAATTGTTCTTTCATTAACTGTAATTCATTGAATAAAATAAAAGATCATTTAAAATGAGATAAGGAATTTCAGTATATATATATCTATGGAGCGTTTATTTTGTCAAATGACTCAGTGGTCTATAAGTTAAGTGTTCGCATGCGAGACCGATAGCTCCTGGGTTCGAATCTCGTAAGGCAGGATTGTAGATGAGCACTGCTGAGGAGTCCTATAATAGGACGAGAAGGCCGTTATTTTGTTAAATAATTCAGCGAATATTTGTACAGAATACTTCCACAAAATGATGTAACCTTACTGTTATTTAGTCTATGTTGGGATCGTTTGAGAATTTCTTATAAATGGAGGAAGATAATTTGTTCAGTTCTCATACAGATCTAGGAAACGACAGATCGTATCATATTTTGATTAGATAATTAAAGAGTTTATCACGAATTTTGTAAGATTGATAAGTGGTCTTTAGTGCTGTTGGAAGTATGAGGGCGCTTATCACGAACTTCTGGTCTTACTCATGTTGGTAGATACAAACTACTTGGTTGGGGTCCGCGTCACTATCGCAACCAATCGTTGGAGACTCTGGGTGACATGGTTCAGAATCGACCACAATGGAGTAGATGTCTACACTCTTTGTCTTCCCTTAAACTATGAGATAAAGATTACTTCATATCTTTCTTTCTACCAACTAATTCTTTATTCCTGTCCTTATATACAATCTTTCTTTTATACATTATCACCACTGAATTAACTACTTCGATGAATACGGTGTTCACCTTGTTGTACTAATGAGATAAGGCAACTTGGATCGATGCACATATGTACCTGGTCCTACGTTGTATCTGATTGACTGACTGAAAACTTCGCGACGAATTAACTCCATTGGTGATGGATTTTCATTAGAACTTCGAGAATTACCTCTTGAAGCTAGTCACTAGTGAGCATATGATAATTATCAGTATAGGATTGTGAAGATTGTTCAGTTTTGATTAAGATCTGTTGGTGCTTCCAGGTTTTCAATGGTGATTGTTTCACGATCTTATTCAAAACTCAACAATCTCCACAAGCCTATAATGAGGATTAAGCATGTATTACTAGACTGTGGTTAAATATTTTAGAATACAACCTGACATAAATTACATTTGCCGGAAACAAATTTATTTGCCCAAACTTGAGTCAGTATCAAGATGCCCAAATAACAACAGTAGATGCACGGGGTTTTAAACTTACAAAAATCAAGCCAAATTAAATATTTTCTTCATATTGAAAATACACACAAATTAATCATAAAAGAAAAAAATAATAAAGCACTTTAACTTACAGCTTTTATTCGAGGTAAAGATTCTGAATAGATACGCATTTCATTTTGATGTCGATTATCTAATTCTTCTAAACGTTTAGTCTCTTGATCAATTAAAGCATTACGTTTCTCAATGGTACTTTGTTCTAATTCTTGTAATCGAAAATGTATACTCTGTTCTAATTCATCCGTTTGAGCTTTATGTTTCGATTCTAACAATTCTAATTCTTCATTCATACGCTTTTGAGCTTCATTCAACTTAAATTATATTATAAAGAAAAAGAAAAGATTACAAACCCAAAATCATTCTATTACTTACAAGAAGATGATAACAGAGTAAGTAATTGTTATAACTTGTGGTTTGTGTGCCCTATTAATGTACAACGTAATGATATCGCCAATTAGAGAACAGTGAATTATCGACTGGACCAATGACGCATAAAACCCGTGCGAGCAGTCTAGAGCCCTTATCGGTCCTGCTTCCTGCCTAACCCACGCAGCCAGTTAAGTCCAGAACACCAATCTCAGCCTCTGAAATATCAATTATGTATTCCAAAAATACTGGGTTTATATACCAACCAAACAGACCACATCGTACCATAAAATAGGAAACAACATTTGTACAAGATTTAGCCAAATGTGGCTGTGAATGAGGGAGGTAGTAATTAATAGACAGGGCATAATACAGGAATGGTAAGTCGTAGAATAATAGATCATAAGTCAAAATAAAGCTCATAATAAGAGGAACATGAATATGAATAGTTTAGTTATTTAACAATTATACGATAAAAAATACACGCATGGTACTGGTCCATAAATTGATCCCAAAAGTTACCATTCATTATGCTTATCGGGACATAACAGTAATCTAGAGTATAATAGTGTTAATAAGAGCTCAGATTTTCTAATCTTCGTCATAGTATGTTAGTTCTTTCTTTAGAAGATAACGTCGATAACATTTTTATGGTTCATATTTCCGTTATGAACTTTGATGCCATCTGATTGCTTGTTAACAATTTTAGTTTGCTAACATAGTCATGTGCACTGAAATTATTGTATAAACAGAGCCAATCCATTTCAATGTTTAACTTTTGTTCGGAATATAAAGCTATTCTGAAAGTGCCATCTTCTCTCTCATTAATGTGTACATTTTTAATGTCGGAGCGATATTGTGTATTAGTTACTGTTCTAACGAATATGTCATAGAAGTCGTTCATAAATAGCAATTATCGCAAGGCTCGATTGGAAACCTTAATCGTAATCATCTTTATTGAAACTGAGACAGCGGCAACACGGGTAGGATTATGAAAATGAACATGGATAAGGTGATGACTTTATATTTTACACAATTAGGAAGAGAAGTAACAACTGTTATGTCCGAAGATCAAATTATAGGTAACCTCCGGGACCCATTTATAGACTTATTGTAAATACATACTTATGGTATGTTAATGAACTAAATCATATGTGTATTCATATTCCTTTTGCTATAAGCTTCCATATGATCTATGAGCTACAATTATACAATTTACTATTCTTAAGTTATTCCCAATCTATTAGTTGCAGTCTCTCACAATCATAGCCACTTTTGGGCTTGAACTTGTATAATTATTTTTATTTTGTGGCGTATTAAGGTCTGTATGTCTGAAATACATTATTACTACAGTGGATGCTGGGATTCTGTTCTCGACTAAAATGGACTGGGTTGGGCGAGAAGAACCAATAAGGACTTGGAGTTGACTAAGCTGCTCGTACTGGTTAACGCATCATTGGTTTGGCACAGCGCCAAGGTCGTATAGGTCGGTGTTGTAATTGGCAATTAAGTCACGTAATAGCTAACGGCAAAAGTCATAACAACAACCAGTAAACTCATATTAAGAAACAGATAGATTATAGTAATTATACATGGAATCAATCCCACCTATAGTAAAGTTTGTATTACAGAGAAAACAACTGAATTTTAAAAACAGCTTACTTTTTCATATACTTCCGTTTGTTTTTTTTAAACATTTGTCCTTGAATCGCTTGGACATCGAACCCAGAGAACCTAAGCACCATGAAGATTATATATGGACAGGACTAGCAGAAGCCTATGTCTGTGAGCGCCTTTGGGCCGAACCGTCGAAACATTTGTGTATTTGAATAACTACGCCATTTATTGGCAGCCCAGATGGCCCAGTGATTACGTCTCTGACTGTGAAGCTGGGTGACACGGGATCGAATCCGTTAGGGAGCACCAGTTCCCTCAAGATTACAGGCACACCTTGCTGATGAGTGCCGCCAAATGCCCTGGTACGGCCGAGAGTGGGTAGAGTCCGCTCTCCCTCTCGAAATGCACTCACATGGCCACGTGCGTACAACCAATGTCAGAGGAGTCCTACTCACTGCCTTCTCGCGACATTAATGTTGTTTACGAAATTGTGAGGAAGAGAAGCGAATGTCCGGCGCTTTAACCGGGTTGGTGGATACGGAGGATTCATCTAGGGGAGTTGGAAAACCCTAATTCCAAACCAGTGGTGCACATGGGCTCCAGTATTCTGAGGGAACAAATGGCGTATACACCAATTATTGGTCACCGGCTTCCATGGGACTGCATCTCCTGAAGTTGCTCCACTGCTTTGTACATCAGACTTCTAGGTCAAAGGCTCCGGGTGTGGCCCCGTGAGAGATCCACCTGTTTCGGTTTGGGCACCCGGGCACTATCCCAGCCTTCACACAAATCAAATGAAATTTGTGTGGCGCATATGTCTTTGGTGCCTCTGTACCAATCTCTATGTGTTCAAGTAATAAATAAATAAATATAATACGTCATTTATCGGCATGGCAAATAAGATCAATGTACGTATAGAAATGCCATAACGATTTACGCCTATCTAGGCTATTTCTGACATCTCCAATCAAGTATACAACGCAAAAAGAAGTTTTGTTGTACGCTCGATGAAAGCTATTACAATTTTAGGTTTCTGATGGCTGATTTGTTTAGTTTCATAGGAAAACTCTTCCAAAAGATGTTTAATTTCTAATGCAGGCTAATGAAAATTCAACTTGTAACTTGAGTACACAAACATGATACAAATCAAATCGTTACTAGATTATTAGAAGAATAAGTAACTAGTTATTTTTATTGGCGAGAAAAGCATCTTATCGACTGCTGATTGCTTACTTGGATGGTATTGATTCTAGATTGGCGTTGTAATGTCAGAATACTACGTTTGTTAACAGACTTCATAGATTTTATACAATTCTTTCTCTCTATGGAATGAATGGCTTGAAGTTTACTTCGTTCCATGTTGATTGTCTAAAATGAAAATGGGCAAAATAAAAAACAATTAAATATAGTTACATAGATGTTCATTCTCTGGTTACACAGTACAATGAAATACAACTGGATAATATCAGTAAACGATATTGGTCTAGTAAGTGATTGGTGAAAATGATCTTGAAGAACTGTCTTGGATATATATGTAAAATTTACATCTCTGTGGGGTATGTCAATTTCTGTTTCAATGGTATTCTAATGAACAAGAACATATATGGGGACAACCAACATAATTTCAATACAAAATTACAGGGTTGTTTCGTCAAATGTTAAGACCATATGTTCAATATTTCATTTTCAAATCATTTATCAACTGTCTCAAACTTCATCATCCCTTCATTGTCATAAAAATTACTCGCTGTACCCGTCCGATTCTATTCAATCTTCCCAACCTTCTGCTGCCACTTCTGATTATTATTTATATACTACTTATATTGATATAAGTAGCATAAGTCATAGTAATAATGTTCCAAACATGAATATACAATTACCTATAACGGCGACTGAAGTTTATAAATAACACTCCCCAATTGTTATAAGATTCATTAAAACTAGTCTTCTTCTATGGTTAAATGTCTAAAAACAATTTTCCTGTAGACAAAAACGAAATGATTTCTCACCTTTCAATCTTCCACTCTAAGAGTACATTGTTTCAATGGGTAACTATCTCTAATACGAAAATGGCTTAAACAATGATATTTATTAAGACTAATAAGAGTGAATATAATCCAAGCAATCAACCATTATTTCTATAGATATACAATCTAAATTGTTATTATGTTGAAATAAACATAAAGCAAAAGCGAACTTCTCAAATGATCCTATTCGAAGTTACTGTTTATATATTTGTCTTCAGTATGATGTTGTGGAGATTGTCGAATTTCATTGAAATTATTATTGTTAAATATTTAAACCAATATATTTAGTAGTAGCCCTCAAATGACCTGGTACGACTGAGGGGTAAGGAGAGTTCATTTTCTCTCTCTAGATGATCTCACATGACCACGTGTATACAATCACAAACACGGAAGTCATACTCATTACATTATCATACCACATGTGTTCTTTAGGAAGTTTACAGGACAAAAACGAATTTCCGGTGATTTAACCGCATTAATGGATGAGGAGGATTTACAGAAGAAAGTTGGAAAACCCTCATTCTAAACCAATGGTATACATAGGCTCTAGGATCATGAAGGAACAAATGGCGTATAAACCCATTGTTGGTCACCGGCTACCACCTGCTTCGGTTTGAGCAGCCGGGCAGTATTCCAACCCTCACACAAATCGAATGACGAAGTATGGTACATATATTATCTGGTGCTTACTTGTATTCATGTTTATGTGTTTAAATAAATAAACTTGTACTACTCCTCTACTTGAAATTTTCTGTTTGATACATAAATGATTGTTGTGTGTTTTACCTTGTCTAAATTATTGTTAATTTATTCCGGAGCTCTTCCATTCATGCCCATATTGTAATTTCTTAATTCTGTTGACAAGTGGTCGGGATTTTGCTCTCTATATTATACTGTATGAATGATTCAAAAATTCGAACTGCATCGTTGAAAATTGATTTGTTGTGTATTCTGGCTACCGAGTGAGCGAATATGTGGAACTGCATTCTGTACTAATAGATATTTAGTTTTACTCTCGGCTACTATCTCACATTTAACGTGTCGTTGATTAGACGAAGGTCATTGATACTAGATAGACAGTCTAGACGAGCCAGTCAACACTCAGATTAGATCAATACAATTGCTCTTCTCTCTTATAGTTCGATATCACGGGCTTGAATAACTACACAAGGAAATCTGTTTATTTTCATCGACAGATCAAAAACATTCCCTGTTTATTAGTTTGATTATTCGACAATCAAACAATAGTTCTCAAATTAGAACCAACTGTTCACCTACTTTGAAATGTCCAATGTGATAAATATTAGTAACTACATCACACCAAAAGCCTAACACTTGGTATTCTCAATGTACGATCACTGTAATTGATTGATAAAATGTTTATAAAATTCATTTACCTCTTGTGTTATATTGACAGATTTACAGAACTAATTCTAATTTATATACTTGTACATGTAGAAGGATCTCAGTGATCCTTTTATAGTATTACACACACACACACACATCTCTCATCATCTGTCTATAATAATGAATGTCTCAAAAATGTATATTCAAAAGCACTCTCGTATTTTACTTGTTATACTTTAAGGCGAATTAAGTTGATAAATATATATGAAGCGAAGTGGGATATCTATGTACTTCATCAGTACCATTATCATCCGATCAATATGGTGTCAGATAAAGAAGTTATTAAAAACATACCTGTTTCAATTCCGTTAATTCAAGTTCCGATCGACCAGTTAATTGTTCACGTTTAATCATAAATAAGTCTAGTTGACGATTTCTATCCAACTGATGTTTCATAGATAAAAAACGATGTTCCGTTCTCCATTTATCTTCTTCAAAATCTTCACAATTGATTGTTTGTAAGACAGATGGTTGTGTTATTAAAAGGAATTTAAAAATGAAACCGTATGGTGCATTAAAATAGGGAACATGATAAAAGATGAACACGGTGAAGTAATATTATCTACAAAACATCTGAAGAATATCAACGTTAAACATATATTGAATGGTTAGTTGGTATACTGTCCCACTTTAATGTTACAGTATGATTAAGAATAAAGGGTTCTTTATTTGTTCTTTTCAAAACCCTGAATTATCTAGACCACCTTTTAAGAACGTTCTGTTCAATGCCTGTAAGAAGATTTTATTTCCCTGGTATACTATCATTATTAATGGTTGTATAAACATAATATTATGAATCCGAAAAATAGACCTCAACACCACATGTGAATTTGTCGCACCCAGAGATGGCATTAATTCATGAAGTCAATAGCTATTGGATTGAGCTGTATCAAGATGAAGAAACCTTTCGGGTAAAACCCATGAGAAAAACGTAGCTTCTAGCTGGAAACTTTAGGTGACATGGCTTTTGATTGATATCAACAAATAAATATATATATCCCTTCAAAATGAAACCAGATAACACGTAGTTCATAGGCTTATAGATTGATTATTCATATAACGTTTACATTTTCTCTATATGTATGTTAACCTGGTACCCAATCAATTTTTTTCAATAACAGACAATAAAATTGAAATTAATTGTTGATTGACTTGTAATTAAATATCACATCAACCAGTCCTCAGTGCTTATCACATTCTGTAGGATGATACTGAGTAGTATAGAATAGTACCTTTTTAATGTCTGAAAAGTATAATATAGTTTTATTACTTACTTTTTAAACAGGATGAGCTAAAAGGTCGTTTAGTGGTTGTCTCTAAGCTGATGAGCATTTAACTGATGCAAAGACTGTTATTATGTGGTTGAAGGCAGTTGCTAGAAAATTCTGCCTGATTTAGGTTTAGTGCCACTCATTATCAAAGTCTACATCAAATCTCTTGGGCAACTGATAGTCTTTAATAGATTCGATTGAAATTTACCCGAATATAAATTCTGAGGCGTTATCATTAAACTACTCAAGTGAAGATTTTCCACCTTTATGACTTAGATATTCATATTAACTGATCACTGAGTAGTGGTTGATATCATGTTTGTCTAGTTCTAAATCCTGATCAAATTACAATCGAATTCTAGTGAGAAGCCGTGACCAGTAGAGTTCAACCAGGTCTTTTTTTATTGAGATCATGAACCGATTGATGTTAGACCACCACCTTCGGAAACCTGAAAGCACTGGATGGCCGTTTCGTCCTATTGTGGGACTCCTCAGCAGTGCGCATCCACGATCCCGCTCGAGGGATTCGAACCCAGGGCCTTCGGCCTCGCGTGCGAACGCTTAACCAACTGGACCACTGAGCCAGCTTCGTGAGGGAATTCTCGGAGTTCTAGTGAGAAGCCGTGATCAGTGGAGCTAATCCATATCGGGTAGAGACAGGTATCTACTTCATTACAATGGAAGTTGGTCACGCAATTTCGCGGATTGGTTGATGTTAGATGCCGGCTCAGTGGTCTACAGGTTAGGTGTTCGTGCGCGAGATCGATAGGTCCTAGGTTCGAATCCCGCGGGGCAGGATCGTAGATACCCACTGCTAAGGATTCCCATACTAGGACGAGTTGACCGTCCAGTACTTCCATGATGGTCTTAGATTCAATTGATTCATGAATTCAACTATTAAATTACAATGTGACCACCAGTAAGGCTTAGTAACAAGTTCCCTCTCATTAAAGATATATATATTTGTTTACTTAGAAAAAATACTTACTTAATCTTAATGTATGAATTTCATTTAAATATTCTGAATGTATTAAATTTCGACGTTTATTATATTCATTATGTAAATCATAAATACGACTATTCATACGTGATTCTTGATTTTCACGAAACAATGTTAAACGTTGAGAAACAAGTGAATTATTATGATCATTGTTATGATTATTATTATTAGTGGAATGATTTGATTTTAATGAAGTTAATGATGAATTGGATTTCATATCATAATTAGATGATTGAATATGATCATATTTATTAAGATCACGTTTAGCAGCTTTACGCATAGCACGATCATATGTATCAATTTCACTTTTTAAACGATCTTTAAATGTACGCTCTTCTTTAGACTAGAATAAATAAAATAAAATAATAATACTAAGACATTAATACGGTTTTTTTTAAAAAAAGAAACTGAATTTCATTAAGGTATACGAGTGTAGTAGTAGTAGTAACCTCTGTATCAGTAAGCTTCAATATACACAAAAGAAAAAGGCAAAACACGAAGAACAACTATCAGTCAGTCAGTCAGTCAGTAACAACGTAGAACTTCGTACGTACGTACATCAGTTCGAGTTGCCACACCACATTAGCACAGAGATGCAGTGGTCGATTCAAATCCCGTAGTGGTAGAGGTAGCAAGAGTATAAGCAGTAATCGGGAAGATTAGGGTTTGGAGATGTTATTTAAAGAGTATAATCCAGTGAAAGAAATTTGGAAAGAGGGAAAAAGGGACATGAAGAATTCAGAAGATTAGAGTTTGGGAGAACACAGAGAGTGGATGCACCTGTGCCATTGCAAACGATTTTGAGCCATGTCATTCAGGGTCTCTAACCATCTGTTGATGTCATCTCGCGGTCCCCAACCAGGTAGTCTACACCTACCAACATGACTCAGTTCACTTGTCAGTGACTTCATGGACTTGTGCCATGTTTTGGTTTGGCCGCCCCTAGCTTTCTTCCAACCTACTCCTATACCACTTAACATAGCACGTCGAGGCAGTCGGTAGTTGGGCATACGTAACACGTGTCCCAGCCATCTCAACTGATGAAGTTTCACTACGTCATCAATTGATTTGCCATCCTTACCTAGTACCCGTTTCCTAACAACTGTGTTACTTACTCGATGGTCCCATGATATACGAGCAATGTTTCGAAGACACCTATGATCGAATACTAGTAACCTACGGATATCCTCTACTCTTACCGGCCATGTTTCACTGCCATAAAGTAGGACAGAACGAACTGCTGCGTAGTACACACGTCCTTTGGTTGATAGACGGATATCTCGCCTACGCCATAAATGACGCAAGTTGGCAAAAGCTAGTCGAGCCTTCTGTATCCTTGCTGAGATTTCGTCACACACCAAACTACAAGGGCTGATGAGACTTCCAAGATAAGTGAAGCGGTCGACACACTCAACTACTTCACTCCCTATCACTAGTTCTGGTGTCGATGTAACCCAATCCTGAAGCAACATTTGTATTTCGAGGGGGAGAAACGCATCACGAACATGCTTGCATTGTTGCTTATAGTGGTCAAAAGACTGCATTTTGTCAGCGTCTTCACCAAATAGAACTATGTCATCGGCATATTCCAAGTCAACAAGTGAATCTCCTGGTAGAAGTTCAACCCCTGTAAATTTAGATGAGGAGAGTGTTATCTCTAAAAGTACGTCAATGACAAAGTTGAACAAGAATGGGGAGAGTGGACAGCCCTGACGAACACCACTTGAGGTGATCAATTCTGATAACAGTTCGCCATAAGCTCTCACTCTACCAGTTGTGTTCGAGTAGAGAGCCTTTATAAGGTTAATGTACTTCTTTGGTACTCCTTTCAGTGACAAACACTGCCATAGAACCTCACGATCAACAGAGTCGAATGCCGCCTTAAGGTCGAGAAATACTACCATTGTGGGGCGTCTGAATGTGTGTCTCTGTTCTAGAACCTGACGTAGTGTGAATATCTGATCTATACAACCACGTCCAGGTCGAAAACCAGCCTGGTTTTCTCTAGTCTGCTCTTCACGAGCTTTAGTTAGGCGTCGAAGTATTATTGAGGCTAATATTTTAGACACTATATTAGTCAAACTGATTCCTCTGTGATTGTCACAAGAGGACTTTTGTCCTTTCTTAAAAACTGGCACAATCAGTGATTGAGACCAGTCAGATGGGATTACGTCCAGTTCCCAAATTCTACCTAAGACCTCAGTTAATCTTGCTGCTAATACTGGACCACCATCCTTAGAACAGCATCATCGATCAACAAGGAGAATCTGATGCAAACATAAAGGCAAGGATTAACAAAACAAGGACAGCATTCTTACAGTTGAAGAATATATGGAACTCAAAACAACTGTTTGTCAATCAATATCTAAGTAACAATCTTCAACATGAACATCAATACAAACCTAAAACTTCCAGAACTATTACAACCATCATCAAAAAAGTACACGTATTTATAAACAATTGTCTACGCATGATACTCAATGTCCGTTGGCCAGAAACCATTAGTAACAGCCTACTATGGGAGAGAACAAACCAGAATCCAGATTAAGAGAAAAATAGGAAAAGGTGCTGGAAGTAGATAGAATATACATTGCGGAAATCATCAAATTGAATCACAAGGCAAGCGCTAACTTGGAATCCTGAAGGGAAACAGAGAAGAGGAAGGCCAAAGAACACACCGCGTCAGGAATCAGAAGCAGATATCAAAAGGACAAATAGCAATTGGAAAGGATTGTCCAAGACAGAGTTGAATAGAGAATGCTGATGGGCGGTCTATGCTCCTCCAAGAGGGGTAACAGGTGTAAGTAAAAAAAAATGTTTATAAGAGAAATAAAAAATTGAGTATGAGTTATGTGGTTGAAGACGATGGACAGGAAGTATTGGACTTAGATCAGTACTTATCAACAAACCATATAGTTAATATTCAAATATTCGAATCCCATAATGGTAGAGGCACTAAACCTATAAGCAATAATCGGGAATATTAGGGTTTGAAGACGCTATTCAAGGAGCATAATCCAGTGAAATCAATTTCGAAAGAGAAAATTAACAGGGACATGAAGAATTCAGAAGATTAGAATTTCAGAGAACACAAAGAGTGGATGCACCTACGCCATTGCAAACCATTTTCAGCCATTTCATTCAATGTCTCTAAACATCGGTTGCTATCGTCTCGCGGATCCCCACCAGATAGTCTACACCTATCAACATCACTCAGTCCACCTGTCGATCACTTCATGGATTTCTGCCATGTTTTCGTTTGGCAGCTCCCAGCTTTCTCCCAACCTACTCCTACACCATAGAACATCACAAGTCCGGGCAGTTGGTGGTTGGGCATACGTAACACATGTCCCAGCCATCCCAGACAACTCATGAAGTTTCACTGCTTCACTAATTCATTTGCCATTCTTACCTAATACCCGTTTCCGAACAACTACATTACTTATTCAGTGGTCCCAGGATATACAAACAATGTTTCGAGCACACCTATGATCGAGTACTAGTAACCTGCGAATATCCTCTGCTCTTACCGACCATGTTTCACTGCCATAAAGTAGGACGAACGAACTGCCGGACAGTAAACCCGTCCGTTAGTTGGTAGACGGATATCTTGCTGGAGTCATAAGTGACGCAAGTTGGCAAACTAGGTCGAAACTAAGGATTAAAAATCATGGTATAAAGAACTACAAAGTATTTAATTCTTATTACAAATCATGAGTATTTGTAGGGATAAAAGATAAGTATATGATGATTTATTGGATTAGTTATCATCTCTTTATTAATAACGCATTAAATATGTGTTTGTATTAAGATGGAAATGAATTATTCGACCACCACAGGCTAATGGATACGATCCTGAAGCTATAAGTTATCCTCCTTAGCATTTTTTTAAGCTATACAATTTTAACAATTTTTTTATCAGAAGGGGTTTTGTGGATATTATAGTAATTTCAATAGTTGAAATAATGAGTCAATTGAAGCTAGACCACCATTGGAAACCTGGAAGCACTGAACGGCCGTTTCGTCCTATTGTGCGACTCCTCAGAAGTGCGCATCCACGATCTCGCCCCCCCCGCAAGGTTCGAACCCAGGGCCTATCAGTCTCGCGCGCGAGCGCTTAACCACTAGATCACTGAGCATCCAACGGTGTTAACGTCTAACTTCAACTATTTTTTTAATAACAAACTATCGAATGTAAACTTACAGTTTCTGATCGAATACGTTTCATTTCCACTTCGAATTCTTTATCTAATCGTTCCATTTGTAATTTATAATTACGTATAACAATTTCCATTTTATGATCATAGGTTTTTGTCAATGTCTATACATAGAAAAACAAATTCAATGAAAAATAGTTCAATATTTCATAAACATTTAATGTGAATTCTGAAGTTTTTGTGTGTAAGGTGGTGATATGACTACATGGTATAGAAGAAACAATTGAGAATTCCTAGTTCATCAAGACTTCCTAGTTGAAGTTGTACAGTAGTATGACGACTTTGTCGTACATGGCTTCAATTAGAAGTCAATGACGGTTTTGTTATAGATTCTCTACATAGTTCTATATAAACATAAAATGAAACCTTTCAAATGAAAGACACCTCTATTGTTTGGTTTCTTACTGAGAATATATCTTTTAACAAACACTATGCTAATTTATCACTTCATGATTACCTAGTTTTTTGTAGTCACCGGACTTCATCGATCAAGTTGCAGTATAAATATTACTATAAGGAATTGGAAGCCCTGTATACTTAGTTTGGGGGTAATAGAAATTATATGAATCAATTGTGATTAGCTTTCAAAAATCTTTAAATCAGATGCATCGATAAAGGTATTACCATATCAAGAAATGTTACTCCTCGCTTATACGACAATCAAACGACACCTACTTATTGCACATGTTTCCGAAAAATTTCAAAGGAAGAAGCGATGGAATTCGATAGGACACACATTGAGGAAAGCACCCAACTATGTCACAAGGTAAGCCCTAACATGCAATCCTTAAGGCCAAAGGAGAACAGGAAGACCAAAAAACACATTACTTCGAGTAATGGAGACAGACATTAGAAGAATGGAAAACAACTGGATAGAACTAAAAAGGAAGGCCTAGGACAGAGTGGGTTGGAGAATATTGATCGACTGTCTATGCTTCACTGGGAGTATACATCGATCACAGTGGCGTCGGTGTATACACTCCCTGTCTTCCCTTAAACTAAGAGACTAAAATCACTTCATTCTTTCTGTCTACGAACTAATTCTTTCTTCCTATACTATATCCTTATTGCAACCTTTGACCTAACCACTCCTATGAATCCGGTGTTCATCTTGCTGTGCTAATGAGGTATGGCAACCTGGACCGATGCACATATGTGCCTGGTCCTACGTTGTAGCTGACTGACTGACTGACTGACAGGCATAAGTAAGTAACTGACTGATAAATTCGCTTTATTAAAAAGTTGGATCCCTATTAACAAACCATTGTCACATCATAGTGATCATTATCTCCTGGCTTCATAAAAGTATTTGAACAGTTCACATTTCAATCAATTCCCATTGATCGACAACAGATATTCAATGCAATTAAGATTATATCTTCAATTTCTCTGTATCTAAATTTTTGTATATACAGCAAATAGTGTGAAACATTTTACAGTTGAGATGATGAAGAAGATTTTTAGCTCACGTGGATGATTTCGATGGAGTATTGTACTCTGAGCTGGGTGATTTGGTCGTGTACGACCATCAAAAACACTTTACAGTACAAAGACGGTTATAGATAGTTCGTGTTGAAAGATAACAAAATTTACTTGACTTTTAATTTTGATGATATATTCATAATATCTTTTTATAATATCTTATATAACTAGATGGATGAGACTATAATTTATGGATGACATTTGAGCGACGCTAAACTGACCTTGAGAGTGTCCACCTGATAACTAGGACCAAATGAATGTTATTAATTAGTGTGAGGAATTTGAATTATGATTTACAGTTGATAGTTAAGATTAAGAATCAGACTTAAGGTCATATCACGAACTGATATGAGTTATAATGCCAAAACTCTATTTACGCAAATGGATGAGTGAACTTCGCGCTAAAATCCAAGACCTGTTATCATACACGTGATTGGTTGGTCCATAAATTATAGTCTCGCCATTACAGTCATATCTGTTTTGAATTGCCATATGATATTCTAGTTCGAATACTGTCGTTAAATATCAACTTAAAAATACACAATTTGATTAACTCGATTCACATACACATGCAACTCAGAAAATTATATGTGGTGTATGTATGAGCGAAATGTAGATCAAAAGTTTGGAGAAATAAAACACACACGATCCCGCGAGCGGGTCGTGGATGCGCACTGCTGAGGAGTCCCGCACTAGGACGAAACGGCCGTCCAGTCCTTCCAGGTTCCCAAAGATTGTCTAACATCAATCGGTTCATGATCTCAATCAAAAACTTAATAATCTCCACAACCCCTATACTAGTAAATACAACATAATTCGCATCGTTTGATGGTTACAGAATTGGTGTAATAGGTTATTAGAAATAGTCTTTTCGTTATAAAATGAGTCTTCTTTAAGTTTCTCTGAAATTCTCAGATAAAATCGATGATTTATAGAGACGACTAAGACAGAACTAGCATTAGCTAGAAAATAATTATTGTATTATATACCACGAATAGGCTAAAGTTCGGAATATTGAATTTTGGACTTTGATCTGAAAGAATTTTTTTTTACAACACAAAAACGTAAACTACTTGCATTCAGCTAGATATGAGATGAAAGATGTGAACTCTACAGTCCTCAAACTGAATTGCTGTACAATAACTCCCTTAATTTATATAATCTGAGCACTATCAACTCAGCAAAATAATTTAATGACAGTCAGTCAGCTACAACGTAGGACCAAGCATATATGTGCTTCGGTCCAGGTTGCCATACCTCATTAGCACAACAAGATGAACACCGGATTCATAGGAGAGGTTAGGTCAAAGGTGGTAATATATAGGAGAAAGATTGCATATAAGAATATAGTATAGGAAGAAAGAATTAGTTAGTAGAAGGAAAGATATGAAGTGGTTTTAATCTCTTAGTTTAAGGGAAGACAGGGAGTGTATACCCAACGCCATTGTGATCGATTCTGAGCCATGTCACCAAGAGTCTCCAGCCATTGGTTATGAAAGTCACGCGGACCCCAACTAAGTAGTCTGCATCTACCAACATGGCTCAGACTAGAGGTTAGTGACTTCAAGCACTGATGCCACGTTTTGGTTTGGCCGCCCCTTACTTTCTTCCAACCATCTAGGTTAATGACAAGAATAATGATAAAACTAAAACACTGAGAAATACAAAATGCATGTAACGAAAATAACCAAAAAAATCATTAAAGTGTCACTTAAAAACACAACCCAGTAAAATTCGTGTTTCAAGAGTTAGAATAGAATATTTCATACAAGAAGATGATGAAATGCTTTAGACAAATTCCTTGAAAACTGAATAAAATACATCATCCGATTCTAATTTAATGTCAAGATCCATTTCAATCTTATTGTGATGTTTCAAGTACAGAATATCAAGAAATACCAAAACACAAATGAAGTCTATTACTCAGTTATTACTTTAGATAATATAAGTCTACAACAACAAAATTATCTTAAAAATCAAGTCATTCTTAAATGATAACAAACCTCAATAATATTACAGTTATGATGAATACATTAATATCGTCAACTGATTGCAGTAAAAAAAAGTGTACATTATTAATATAAATTTATTGAACTCATCTCCAACTTTTATCATAGTTTCAGTTCTTGATAAAAAAAATTCAGTGTGTACTATTGAGTACACTCATTTCAACGATGAACTAAATCACTACATAACTTCGTGACAAGTTTCATTGAAATTTTTCTTTAATGACCATATAGTCAGTCAGTAGAAACGTAGAACTTCGTACATAATTACATCAGTTCGAGTTGACATACCACATTACCACACACACACACACAATTGTCGATTCGAATCCCATAATGGTAGAGGCACTAAACCTATAAGCAGTAATCGGGAATATTAGGGTTTGAAGACGCTATTCAAGGAGCATAATCCGGTGAAATCAATTTCGAAAGAGAAAATTAACAGGGACATGAAGAATTCAGAAGATTAGAATTTCAGAGAACACAAAGAGTGGATGCACCTACGCCATTGCAAACCATTTTCAGCCATGTCATTCAAGGTCTCTAACCATCGGTTGCTATCATCTCTCAGATCCCCATAACCAGATAGTCTACACCTACCAACATCACTCAGTCCACTTGTCGATCACTTCATGGATTCCTGCCATGTTTTCGTTTGGCAGCTCCCAGCTTTCTCCCAACCTACTCCTACACCATAGAACATCACAAGTCCGGGCAGTTGGTGGTTGGGCATACGTAACAAATGTCCCAGCCATCCCAGACAACTCATGAAGTTTCACTACTTCAACAATTCATTTCCCATTCTTACCTAATACCCGTTTCCGAACAACTACATTACTTATTCAGTGTTCCCAGGATATACAATGTTTCGAGCACACCTATGATCGAATACTAGTAACCTACGTATATCCTGTACTCTTACCGACCATGTTTCACTGACATAAAGTAAGACGGAACGAACTTCTGCGCAGTAAACCCGCCCTTTCGTTAATAGGCGGATATCTCGCTGACGCCAGAAGTAACGCAAGTTGGCAAAAGCTAGTCGGGCCTTCGAATTACAAAATTAAATGACAGTAAATGATGAGATTGTATTTTATTTTATTGATTCCAATAAATTATAACTCCTATACAAAAACACGATTATTCTTTTGTATTTAGATAAAACAAACAAAAGAAAAGAAAAATGACAAACATTTTGTAGAATAATAATAATAATAATAAAAGAAGAAGAAGAAGAAAGAATTCATTCAGTTTCAAGTCTTTTCATCGGTTGTATAAATAGATAAATAAACAATATACAACAACAACAACCTGAAATGATAAAGAAAAACAAACAAAGACAGATTGATAGATATAGAATTAATGAGAAAAAAAAAGTATTTCTATACATAGTTCTACTGATGGAACAGTTTTCTTATCTAGTACCTTTTCATATGTAAGTTTAGTTGCTGGATTTTTGTTGTTAACTCGGCCTGTAGCTCTCCTAGAGTTACTGCCGGTCCCAAGCCCTGATAATGGAGGAAGGTTGGGTATGCGGTCAGCGACACCATCCCGTAAAAAACTAACTCGCTAAAGAAACGCTTACCAGAAAAAATTATTCAAACCTTTTAAACTCTGCCCTGAAAGTTAGAAGGTTTTCAGTTAGAAGAACTATGATTCTCATGGTGAAAGCCGAGTTCCTTCGAAAGCCACGACGTCGATGCTCCTTCTGACAACCAGAGCAACCATTTATTTAGGCACATGGAACACTCGTACAATGTGGGAGACCGGGAGTCTTCCAAATTGCTGCAGAAATGAGGAGATACAACCTAGAGCTGCTTGGGATCATTGAAACACATTGGAAGCGAATTGGACAACAAAGGCTAAATACGGGAGAGATGCTACTACACTCCGGTCATGAAGAGGAAAATGCTCCACATACTCAGGGAGTTGCTCTAATGCTGTCCAAAGTAGCACGAAATGCACTTGTAGGATGAGAATCTCACGGATCCAGAATCATCAAAGCATCATTCAAAACAAAGAAGGAGGGGATCACAATGAATATTATCCAATGCTGTGCACCCACCAATGATAGCAACGACGACATTAAAATCAATTCTACGAGCGGCTGCAGTCAATCATAGAGAAATGCCCAAGAAAGGACCTCACCATCCTGATGGGAGATCTAAATGACAAAGTCGGAATAGACAACACCAGATATGAAGATATCATAGGACAACATGGACTGGGAGAGAGAAAAGAAAATGGAGAAAGATTTGCAAATCTGTGCGCATTCAACAAGTTGGTCATAGGGGCCACAATATTTCCAAAAAAACGTTTACAAAAAGCTACATGGATCTCACCGGACCACACTACAGAGAACCAGATAGATCATATTTGCATCAACAAAAAACTCCGAAGGACAATGGAAGATATGAGAACCAGGAGAGGAGCTGACATAGCTTCAGATCACCACCTAGTTGTGGCCAATTTAAATCTGAAACTAAAGAAGAACTGGACAACTGGACAAACAGTAATACAAAGGTTCAATACGGCCTTCCTTCGAGATACTGACAGACTCAATGAATTCAAGATAGCTCTCAACAACAAGTTCCAAGCCTTACAGGATCTACTGAAGGAAGAAGAAACTGCTATGGAGGACAACTGGAAAGTTATCAAAGAAGCATTAACTCCAACGTGTCAAGAAGTTCTGGGCCTCAAGAAGCATCATCATAAGGAATGGATCTCTATAGAAACACTGAACAGGATCAAAGAAAGGAAGAACAAGAAGACAGCAGTTAACAACAGCCAAACACGAGCAGAGAAAGTCCAAGCACAAGCTGAATACATGGAAGCAAACAAGCAAGTGAAGAAGAGCATTAGAGCAGACAAGAAGAAATACGTGGAAGAACTAGCTACGACAGTGGAAAAAGCTGCAAGAGAAGGAAATATGAAACAGCTTCACGATACAATGAAGAAACTAGCAGGGAAATATAGTAAATCAGAGAGATCGGTCAAAGACAAAGAAGGCAAGCCAATCACCGAAATTCAACAACAGCGTAACAGATGGGTAGAATACTTCGAGGAACTCCTGAATAGGCCGGCTCCAATGAATCCACCGGACATCGAAGCAGCACACATAGATCTTCCTATAGATGTCAACCCACCAACTACGGAAGAAATTAGAATGGCCGTCAGACAAATCAAGAACGGGGAAGCAGCAGTACCCGACAACATACCAGCTGAAGCACTGAAATCACACATCGAAGCAACCACAAGCATGCTTTATCTTCTATTCAAAAAGATTTGGGAGGAGGAACAAGTGCCGATGGACTGGAAAGAAGGGCACCTCGTCAAGATTCCAAAAAAAGGAGGCCTGAGCAAATGTGGAAACTACAGACGAATCACACTACTGTCAGTACCAGGAAAAGTCTTTAACAGAGTGTTGCTGAACCGGATGAAAGATGCAGTAGACGCCCAACTTCGAGATCAACAAGCTGGATTCCGTAAGGATCGGTCGTGCACAGACCAAATTGCGACACTACGGATCATCGTCGAACAATCAACTGATTGGAACTGGTCACTGTACGTCAACTTCATTGATTATGAAAAGGCATTTGACAATGTAGATAGGAGGCCGTTATGGAAACGTCGTCGACACTACAGAGTTCCTGAGAAGATTGTTGACATTATCCGGAACTTATGCGACGGACTACAGTGTGAGGTCGTGCATGGAGGACAGCTGACAGACGCATTCCAAGTAGGGACCGGAGTCAAACAAGGCTGTCTACTCTCTCCCTTCCTCTTTCTTCTGGTGGTTCACGACGATAGGCAAGCCCGACCACCATGTCGAGGTATTAGCAACGGTTGAAGCAATAGAGGATATAAGATGTATGATGCATATTATCACAAATAATAAAGATATCATCAACATACTTGGAGAAATATATTTTTATTCTGTGTTTCATGTTTTCATTCTGCTTTTCCTAAGTTAACTATAAAAATATTGGCCATTACAATGATGTAATCTTTTATTTCATAATGATCAATGGCAATTATAATTTTCTAGCGACCAGTGTAGTTCAACCAGGTCTGTTGTGAGATAGTAACTCACTGAAGACAATGGTGGATATGTCGCTTAATTTCATGGATTAGTTGAAGTTAGACATTAACAACGTTGGATACCAGATTAGTGACATAGTGGTTAGGCGCTCACGCTCAAAACTCATAAGTCCTAGGTTCGGATCTCGCGAGGCGAGATCGTGGATGCGCACTGCTGAAGAGACCCATGCTAGGACGAAATGGCCTTCCAGTGCTTCCAGGTTTCCATGGTGGTCTTGCTTCAATTGACTCATGACTATAATTTCACTGTTTTCTCTTTCAAAAAGTAAATACCACATTAATCGTTGACAAGTTTCTATCCTATTTCATTTTTTTTCTTAAATATAATTTTCACTTCTGTTTCAAGTATTCATTTCAACCTCATTAACTAATCTATATCATACATTTCTTATCCATTTTAAGCTGTTTCCAGTCTATGTAATAAGTTGCAACAGAATGATCACAACTCAGTTAGTTACATAATTAATAGGGTCATGCACACAATAAACTGAATTAGGAAAGAAACAAAAAAATGGGTAGAGGAAAATTGGATAATTTAGTTTATGAAAGGGTAAGAGCTTATGCATCATGGATCGAGTGTAACGCGACCTCGACCTTTTTTTTTAAAGATTGTGACAAAATATCATGTCTTGTTTTGTTTGTTTTTCATTCAACTAATCAAGTTAGTATAAGACAATCACATTTGCAACAACAACAACAACAACAACAAAAAGATGTAACAAGTGATATGAGTTACAATATAATCGAACCAATTACGTAACTGACTAGAATATAATTAGACACAAAAATGAGTAAATATTTTCATGTTAGGAAGATGAGTTGAAATTTAAAAAAAAAAGGACGACAGGTTTTACAAAACCAAAACAAAACAAACAAACAAACTATCTTGGTTACTTGAGAAATGTAAAGTTCAGAAGTTTATTCTATTGAATATAAAAGATATCAGTTCAATGGTTAAGATCATGCGTCAGTTGAAGCTAGATCACCATGGAAAACCTGGAAGCACTGGACGGCCGTTTCGCCCAACTGTGGGACCCCTCAACAGCGCGCATCCACGACCTCGCCCCCTGCGGGATTCGAACCCAGGACCTACCGATATTAATCAACATATGCTTACTAGTGACTGGAGTTCTAGTGAGAAGCCGTGATCAGTGGAGTACAACCAGGTCTGTTGTGAGATAGTAACTCACTGAAGACAATGGTGGATGTGTCGCTCAATTTCGTGGATTAGTTGAAGTTAGACATTAACACCGCTGGACGCCGGCTCAGTGGTCTACTGGTTAAGTGCTCGCGCGTGAAACTAGTAGATCTTGGGTTCGAATGTCGCAAGGGGCGAGGTCGTAGATGCGCACTGCTGAGGAGTCCCACAGTATGACGAAGCGGCCATCCAATGCTTCCAGGTTTTCCATGGTGGTCTAGCTTCAACTGAATCATGATCTTAACCATTGAAATTACTATAATATCCACAAAACCCATCTGATATAAAGGATATAAGGTGAATATCTAGATTCAATGAAAAGGGGAAATAGTTACATTAGAGATACATCGAACAGTACAAAGAGAGGTTTATAAGTGCGTATTCAGAATGTCAATTGATGAGTCACTGTTGGTATAAAAAAATTTCTGAGCAAGTTGCCCTAACAAAGCCTTTTTTTAATTTCAAGATTTCGTTAATATGTAAATTATGACTAACAGTAGAACCGATCAAATGCAAACTATATTCACAATGAGGGAAAACTGAAAACCACTGGCTAACACCTTTATACTCACTGAAGAAGATTGTGATTATTGAATTCATTAGTTTAATAAATAATGAGTTGGGATTCGAAATAATAGGTACTGGAATGAAATTTCAGTATAGATATCAACATAGTGATCCATGTACATGCAGGTGATATATGCCAAGCAAGAAAAAATATCAATCTTGGACTATATAACTAGTCACATTTCAAATAATTAAAGTGCCTATTAAAAAAAAACACAAATACCCAACAACCATTGGTTTAACTTTATACGAACTGAATTCAATTCATGAAGTGTATCATCTTAAACACGTGAATAATTACACTAGACACAAATTTGTCAATATTTGCACTACACAACCTCATTGAGTATGAAAATCTTCAAATATTAAAATGATCTCTATGAAATAACAGCAACAACAAAAGGGGAGGGAAAAAAAAGCATGAATATCTGCCCTTAACAACCCAAAAGAAGACCTACTGAAAATTCTGCATTCATTTTATTCTCTAATATATCAATTTGTTGTTGTGCACGTTCATTCAATTCACGTGTTTGATGTGCTTCTTGTTTGGCTAATATTCTGAATGCACGTAAAGCAGCTTTACGTTTAATTCTAATAGAAATTTATTTGTTTTGTTTAGAAAAAGAGAAAGTAGAAAATTAGTCGAATAAAGTAATTTCAAAACGGTAACTGATTGATTAAGGCATATGTTTTTTAATAGTACAATAAAAGGATTTAGATACCAACTGCCCCATCCACCCACATAAAAATGTGTGATTGATTTAAAAAGAAGATAAATTAATCGACATTTGACACCCAGGTAATATGGGAGAATAACAAATAACTAGGATAATAAGCTGCCGAAATTGATCAATTCAATTCTAGTTCATCTGTACTTGTAATCATTTATCAAGACCACATCTTAATCACATTCGGGAGGATCTACCTGAGTAGTTTATCTAATGCTGAAATAAGTGAATCATGTCATCGATTCTGTAACACGCAGCAAATAAAAGACATTTAGATCCTTTAAACAATCAAGTCAAAAACACTGAGAAATGTATTTCTTAAACTACTTTGAATTTTGCAAGTTTGGGTTATCCATATATATATAAACATTGGTACAAGGAGGCACCAAATACATATGCCCCACACAAATCATTCGATTAACGTGAAAGCTGGAATATTTCCCGTGCATCCTAACCGAAGCAGGATTTTCATATTTATAAAAAAAAGTACAACTTTAAAATGAACTCTTATAAATGGATTCCTTTGATGAATAAGTTTTTCTTTCTAATGGCTTAATAGGTATATATTTAAACCGTATACATATATTACTTCATTTTTTCACCAGACAAGGAGAATTCAACTGTCACAAAGTGATAAGAAAATGAACAAAAATAGGTTAGTATCAAGTATATCGAAGTTTATTAAGGCAGTAAACTGAGTAAATTTGAGTCAGTGTTGTGAATTTTAACCCGACAACATCTCATATCCTCAATAAATTATCCTGAACGTTGTACAGACTTCAATAGGAAATAATATATCTTCACATTAGGAAAAACAAGCTTCATATTGACTTAGATTCTATCAGTGTTTCAATTGTTATTTATTAATTTCTGAAAATTGTCTTAGTTCTCTCTTTACCCAAATTTTGTTTATCATCAATTTATCAGATATAGGTTTATTTTTTTTAAGATTTGTGTTAAATTGTTCGTGTTAATCATATTGACGGTGAGACTATAATTTATGGAGGACCTTTGAGCGACGCTAAACTGACCTTGAGTGTCCACCTAATAACTAGGACCAAATGAAGATTGGATGCTGACCGCCTCAGTGGTCTACAGGTTAAACGTTCTCGTGCGAGGACTAGAGGTCCTGGGTTTGAACCTCGCAGGACAGGATTATGGGTGAGCACTCCTGAAGAGTCCCACAGTAGGACGAAAAGGTTGTCTAGTGCTTCCAGTTTTTCTATGGTAGTCTAGTTTCAATTGACTCATAAATTCATTTATTAAGTGAATACAAACTATTCAACCGACGATATATTTGTCTTGTTTATGAATACAAAGCTTTAGTCTAAAGAACAATTTACTATAGAGATAAAATGGTGAGATTAGAATTTAGGGAAGACCTTTGAGCGACGCTAAAGTGACCTTGAAACTGTCCACCTAATAACTAGGACCAAATGAGGATTAGAAACGAGTGTGAGGAATTAGAATTATGACCTACAGTTGATGGTTAAGGTTGGGAAATTAGACTTAAGTTCTTCATCACGAACTGACATTGGCTATAATGCCAAAACTCTATTTAGCCAAATGAATGATTGAACTTCGCGCTAAAATTCAAGACCTGTTATCCTATACCTGATTGGTTTGTCCATAAACTATAGTCTCGCCAATATTGACCAGCTGATACAGCAACGTTAGAACTTGTAAATTATTACTAATTGACAGATAAATATTTCATAGACGATGAAGGGATAGAAGATGACATTTTTCACAAAATGTAATAATAATAATAATAATCAAAACGATGACTTACTGTTCGTCTTCACAGAACCTTTTATCTTCTAAATTAGTGTTTACAATGCGTTTCGATGTTGTAGTAATCGTTTGACCATCAATAACAAATCTACGCGTTCGTGTTCTTGTACGATAAGCACTATTTTGACGTTTAAGCTGAAATTCATAATAAATAAATGGATAAGTACAAGATAGCCAACACGATGTAATTAAAACAAGAACATAAACCCAAGACATTGTATCGTAATATACTAAGACAGAATTATCAGTATTATGACACATAATTGAATTTTATAACTAACATCACGAATTGATTTTAATTAAACCACTATTAAACAACCAAAAAAGTATCAAACACTTATTTCACCCTAGTATGCGACTTCTCAGTTGTACCGACCCACGACCTCAACAGAGATGGAGCCTGGAACATTCAACTTCCGTTGCGAAAGATTAATTTTTGGAACACAGCTGGAAACTAATGGTTCACATGTCTGACTTCAATTAATTCTACTTCATATTGAAGATGGTTGAACCTTACTAGTTAAGGCTTCTAACTAAAATTAATCTGTGATGTAGACCATAAAACACAAATTGATTATTTACCTTGCATCCTAAAAAGCTAGACAACTACATATGATTTTGTAAACACCAAAGAATAATAACGATAACAAATTAACATAGAGTTAAATCATAATAATCCAGTACATGAAATAATTTCACAATAGTATGATGGTATCAAATTATGAATATTGAAAATAAGGAAAGAAAAAGATGTTGCAACGAGCAAAGATTTGTGTATATTCCATCGCTTGTCGTCTGTTCAACATGGGGGCAAAAGAATGCCGTCATAGGATATCCACCAAAATATGTGCCCAAACACGCAAGACAATATATGAGGTTAACTAGTAGAACTAATTTGAAAACTTATCCGGAAACGATCGAACTGACACACCAATACTTTGTCTCATGATAAATTTCAAATTGGACACTAATCGGATCGATACCAGTTTACACAGAAGCAAAGTATTTACACAGCTCTAAAATACACATCATGTTTTAGGTATGAGGACTAATGAACAACGTGTCTTCAAATAACGTATACTTATTTTGTAAATATCCTCTTTTCTTTTGTGTCCGCCTGATCATGACAGTAAATAAGTTTTCACTCTGTAATCATATTTAACATACCTATAGTGGAGCGGTGTTTAGTAGTTAAGGCGTTCAACTTTCACCTACTGGCTCCTGAATGCCCTGCTATAACTGAGGGTGGCCACGCATATATAGCCACAACCACAGAAGTCGTACCACAGGTGTTCTTTACGAAGTTTACAGGACAAAAAGCGAATGTCTGATGATTTAACCGTGTTAATGGATATGGAAGATCTATAGAGGAAAGTCGGGAAACCCTGATTACAAACCAGTGATGCATATAAGCACCACGATCATGAGGGAACAAATGGCGTATAAAACTAATGTTGGTCATCGGCTACCATGGGACTTCATCTTCTAACGTTGCTCTACTGCCTTATGGAATAGACCTCTAAGTCAAAGGTTCGGGGAATGGCCCTATACGAAAAAAACCACCTGCTTCGGTTTTGGCGCCCGAGCAGTATCCCAGCGCTCACAGATATCATTCGACTTATGCATTTATTTGGTGCTTTCATGTAACAATGTTTTTTTGTTTAAATAAATGTTAAAATAAATAAATATCAGCAATTAAGTCCCATCCTCAGGTTCGAGATTCATCCCACCTATTTGAGTTTGGACAATTGATTCGTTTCATTAGTCATTACACTTAATGTATGGCTCACAATCAAATACCTGATGAATGACATGATATTTGTTGCCATACCTCAGTAGTAATTAAGAAACACTTTTGGTTTGTATCAGCACAAAAATACATAATATATTGAAACACTAACTGAATAGTTGAACAATTTGTATATGGATAATGATTAAAGTTTTAATTTTTAAAATATCTACTTAAGCAAAACATATCCAAAGTAAACAGAAAAAGTGGTTATTTAAAACAATAACCTATTTCGACATAAAATTGAAATGTGTCAATTTTGTTGATTCAGTAGTAGGTGTATGTGTAATCAATCTATTCAGATATCTACTACTATTATGTAATCATTCATTTGTTTAACTGATGGATAATAATTGACTATTGATACATAAATAGACAAATAGGTGATATTTGATTTTTCTGATTGAGATCATGAACCGATTGATGTTAGACCACTTTTGGAAACCTGGAAGCACTGGACGGCCATTTCGTACTATCGTGGGGCTCCTCAGCAGTGCACATCCACGACCCCGCTCGCGGGATTCGAACCCAAAGCCTTCGGTTTCGTGCGCGAACGCTTAACCTACTGGACCACCGAACCTGCATCCAGTGGTGATAGTGTCTAACATCAACCAATCCACGAAACTGCGCGACCATCTTCCATTGTACTGAGGTAGATACCTGTCCGACATAGATATTTGAATTAGTGATTTATGATTGTTCCAAGTTAATAAGATGAAAACATTAAATATTTTAAAAATTAAACTTATTTTACTAACATTCAAGTTTATACTTTCTACAAGGTAAATGAGTTAAGTACCAACCAGAGATGTCATCTATCCTATTAGTGTGATGTGTGGTACTTATATCAACATAAGTAGTATATAACTCTAGTCAGGAATGGAATGTCTGGAAGCAGAACGTCGAGAAGATCGAGGAGGAAAGGACGCGAATAGAGAGTGATCGGTATGGAAGCACAGGAACAATCGAGTCTAAGACAATTGGTTGACATTTTGCAAATGAAGTATTTATTGTATGGTTCTCAGATTTTACTAAGAGAGTTTTCAAATACGTTCGATTGTACTCACTTGTGTTTTTGTTCACTACAGTAGTGGTGAAGTGAACGGAGACTTTCAATATAAGTAGCGCACACCACGGTAGTAGTACAGTGAATGAGAATATAAGCGGGGACAACCAAATGTAATTGAATAGAAAATAACAGAATCACCTAGTACAAATTGAGAACAATACAATAAATACTTCATTTGCAAAATGTCAATCAAATGTTTCAGACTCGATTGTTCCTTCATTTCCACACCAGATATTTTCTGTTCTCGTTCTCTTTCCTCCGATCTTCTTAACCTTCTGTCACCAGACATTTCACTTTCGATGCTACTATTACTACTACCACTACATACTACTTATATCTGTCGACATCAGTAGCACACACCACAGTAGTACAAACGGATAACTCTTACAAACAGAAGATCAACTATCATTAGCCAATAAGTGTTCCTTATGGTGTAATATAATATATATTTAATATAGGTCCCAGTCATTACAGTATAGTCATACAGTCCACGGGAAAGTTAGTGATACTACTCCATTACATAAAATGAAGTATTTGATGTGCGTTTTAAGCATACAACATAACAATTACAGGCTGAATCCTTCAATTAATAAACCATTGATCTTGATTTCTTCCATATGATGAATGAACTAGAAATATAATAAAATGGAATTAATTCCAGTGAGACGAAACTAAGCATCTATAACGAATGAAATGGATAATTCACTACTGATACACGTAAATTAACCATTTAATCGTCTAAAATTAGCAATTAGTAGAAGATAGAAAAATGTGACCCAAATGATATTACGGGACAAATGAATTGGGTCACGTACAGTTATCCAGGGTACTGATAAAATTGGTAGTAATCGGTAGATCTATGGCCCATATACTTACATTTCAACCGGTTAAACGATGAATATCAGAACTAGTTCAAACTGCCACATTTTATCGGTACAGTGAGATGAAGTCTCTAAGACTAATTTCACAGTAGTAGACGTAGTAAAAGTATTAATGATAGTAGAAAACATTATGCATGAACAATCTGAATCGAATGGAAAGAATTAATTTACGGAAATAAAAAGTATGGGCTTTAAAACTCAGGATCTAAGCGAAAACAAAGAGTAACTGCATCTGCAACATTGCAAGAAGACTCTAAACCCATGTCGTCAGTTACGATAACTGCACGGACCCTAAACAAATAGTCTGAACATTCTACATGGCTCAATTCATACGTGATATACGTCCTAACTATCTACTCAGTACCCTGCATATAACCTCAAAATCGCACAGTCAGTGACCCCAACATACGTGGTGAGTGCTTTGGAGATGTCTGTAGGTAAATACTAATAAAATAAGAATACCTTCGATTTTTAAAGACTCCGTTTTACAGTCAGAAAATAGGACAGAAAGAACTGCTAGACACAAAGACAAAAATGACAGACTATGATGAAACGCTTGTCAAACCCTCTCAAGTCTCTAGAGTATTTACAATCAATATCAATCCATTATAATACTAACCGTAAACTGAACACTTGTAACAAAACCCTTTCTTCAGTAATATTTATTGGCTCATTAATGAAAGGCTTCTAGATGGATTTCTTGAAGCTCTTGTGAACGGCCATGAAAAAATACTGCAAACTAAGAATGAATGAGAAAATCATTGATGAAACTTATCGAAGATAACGCAAATAGCCGGAAGTCTGGAATAAAAAGTATGTGATATTGACACAGTATTGTGACACCTTCAGGTTTTGAGTGATAATGTTGTGAGACCGATGGTGTACACTGTTGAAGAACTCCAAACAAGACTAAAACAATTGTCTAGTACCTACATTTTTTAAATAGCTACTCAGTTGAGGTCTATACACTCCGATTTAAAAAAAATAGTTCAATATAAATTACCGAAATCAGTCATTTAAAAAAAATCAAGACACTAACATTACATAATCCACATTCACAATGAAAGATCATATTCCACCCTTTATATGACTCTAAGGAACAAAAGTTGACTTACTGGAGATACAGTCATTTTCGATTTATTATTATCATGAAAATCAGTTGTTGAAGGCAATGATGAAAGTGGATCTTTCAATCCATCATTGACGACAAGAGATTTATGTTCAATAGTTTCTGATGGAGTCAACTGTTTCTTAGGATGAACAATTGTTTCCCGAATACGATTGTTAACATTACTATTAACCTGAAATATAAAACAGATATTAACATAAAAGTGATTTAAATAGTTAATAAGTACATCTTATGAATAAGGTATAGAACATCCGTTTATTACTCTTCAGACAGTGTAATATGTTATGAAGATTAAAAACATTAAATCAAATATCTTATACTTATGATTAAAACTAAAGATGTAATGTGTGGGTTTTTTTCTTTAGCTCAATTAAAATAGATAGAAATCTCATCATAAACAATAAAGGAACTGATATAGATGTATGATAACTTCGATAGATCATATTTCCACAAGGGTAAGATGGATTGAACTGGTGAACGAGGAAGAACAACAATGAAAATATTAACACTCATGGTAGTAATCTATAAAAGATGTATGTTTGGCGATGGTTTATTATTTAAAAGGAAATAACAACCGATAAACATTACATTGAGTAATAACTGATTTAAATGACAAGCTCTCAAATGTACGGTATAGAAAACAATAATCAACTCTCAATGTAATAGAAAACATACCAATATCTCATTAGACGGAACAAATATTTAGAAAAACATATATAAGCGAACAATATTGTTTTTGACTAGATCCTCATCAGTGTTTTTTTTAGCGAGTTAGTTTTCTACGGGGTGGGGTCGCTAACCCCATGCCCAACCCTCCTCCTTTATCCGTGCATGGGACCGGCAGTAGTCCCCGGAGGGACTCCAGGCTTTACTCTAATATACAGTAATGTGTTTATATGCATATATGAAATAATTAAACTAATCAAGATAGTTATTTCACAGTGACTACATATTTTTCCGACTATTGTTGCTACCTTGACGTGGTGGTCAGGCTTGCCTATCGTGATGAAGCAACCGAGCTATACTGGCTGGAACAACGGTTTCTCAAGGTCCTACCATGTCAGACAGGTCGGTTGAAGAGCGGTAAGACTAAAAGCAACAAACCCAAGGTCCGAAGGCGAAGTCGTACTGCTGACTGTACAGAGGTGTGACAGCAGTAAGGTGTTTCTTTCAGACAACCAGCATGACAGCGATGCTGCCTTCCCACAAGGAGGGATGGGGTTAGAAAAGGTCGACCCTAAAAATGCACACCTCACCTTACCTCACGGATTTCCGTCTCCGGCGGTAAGGCCCTTTGAAGAACGGAGCCAACACGTCAAAAACCTCCCACAAAAAGGCCGTGCGCGACCGGCCTCGAGCAGTTGTCCCTTGGGCACTGTGGTCACGCTCTCAGGTCACTGAGACCACCTCTAATCCAAGTTCCTTTTCAGGTACCTCCAGAAGAACCCTTCCTCGGTGTGGGCAACCGGGAAGTGATAACCGCCCTTATACCTCTAAAAGCACTCGAGACCACTGTATTCATTTATTTTTCTAATCATTGACCTATTTCCCATTACGTAACATTGATTCAAGCCTTTATTATTGCTTACCACAACTAGTACACTTGTCATTACACTATCAATTTGTACTTTTCACTTATTCATTTAATCTATTCCACTGTTATCATCATTGACTTATAAACTACCTGGATCGATTTAATAATTTCATATATGCATATAAATACATAATTGTATATTAGAGTAAAGCCTGATGAGGATCTAATCGAAAACAATATTATTCGCTTAGATATATATGTTGTTCTGGATCAAATATTGCACACACAAAAAAGATACTCCAAGGAACAAGTGTTATCTATAACACGCAATAAACTTGATTAGTATCGAAATAATTTGATAGTAGTCACTATTAAATTAATTAAATGAACGTAAATCACTGATTGAATCGTCATTATTTGTAAAATAATACTCAATAAACACAGTATAAACGTTCTACAAAATGGAAATGATATAATACACTACTAACAGTTGATGAATTTCAAAAGGGACGAAACCCGACTCTCGAATATTAATACTAGCGTTCCTATCCAAATTACAATCAATTTGTAAATATTAGTAGTATTTAGGTCTCAATAATGAAGTTAGTGTTGAATATAAACAACAAGGAACTATAAGTAATAATGTTAGTTTTGGTTAACTGATTTGTTAAACAAAAGCGTTAATAATACTGAATTGAAATAAGCAAAATACACTATCAGCTATGCACCAGGTCATCGATAATACCGAGTAGACTCGATCACGTGTAAGAGAATAATGTGTTTAGGATGTTAGTGATAACAAGCGTTAGAAATCAAATGCTGAGACCATTTTGTACAATAAACAAATACAAATTAGTGTATTCCATTCTTTTGCAAGCGTGACCAATTATTTATTATGATAAATTATACGAATGACTATTGAAATGAAAGGATATAATACTGGTCGATAGATGGTATACACTGATACGAAGTATGACCAAGTGATGGCTTTTCATAAAACCTAATTATCGAAGTAAGCACCTGAACAATTTGAGATCAACTTTTAAAGTTACTTATCCTTTACTAAGTAAAAGGTTAACTGTTAGACAATTCCATCCTATCACAGTTTAAACCAAAGTGGCGTAGGGAATATAAACATATCAACAACTAAGTTACAGCATTGTAAATCAGAACAAACGAACAAGGCAAAAGTCAAACACTAAACAGTTCTTACTTTTACCTTAGCAACATGTTCCATTTTAGCAGTAGAATTAGGAACAACAGAAGTGGTGATGGTCGTGGCATTAGAAGTAATAGAAGTAGTATATGGTGATTTGACAACAGTTGAATGTATATCATGCATAAGTTCAAATACACATGATGTAATTGAAGGTGATTTTGTGTCAGAAGTGATTACATCTGTAATTAATTGATCGACTATTTCATCAATTATATAATCATTCATTTTGTTATTCTACACAATCACATAATACATATGTGAGTAGATATATATAGAGAGAAAGAAATGAGGAAATATTATATTAATGATAAGAGATTAGATTGCATTAAATTAAATAAAGCGAAAATGAGACAAAGCGAAAAGCAAAATAGCAATTATAGCATGATAATTAAATAAAATCCTTTTTTTAATATCAAATTGAATATAATGGAAACTATAATTGGTTAGTTAATAGTTAATCGAATCATGTTAGTGATTAAGAAAAAGCATTAAGTAATATAACATAGAAAATCATAGAGTTGTCTTTATTGAATAAATCATCCTATTGTGGGACTCCTCAGCAATGCGCATCCATAATCCCGCTCACGGGATTCGAACACGGGGCCATCAGTCTCGCGCGCGAACGCTTCACCTCTAGACCACTGAGCTGGCCGGCATCCAACGGTGTTGATGTTTAACCTCAAGCAATCCACGAAATTTCTCGACTGAAAACTTTCATTGTATTGAGGTAGATACCTGTCTCTACCTGACACGGATTAGCTCCACTGGTCACGGCTTCTCACTAGGACTCCAAGAATTTCCTCACGAAGATAGTCACTAGTGAGCACATGGTAATTATCAGTATGCGGTTGTAAAGATTATTAAGTTTTTGACTGAGATCATGAACTTATTGATGAAAGCTTTTTATTATCTAAAATAGCATGAGTTCCATCAATCAGTAACAACGTAGAACTTCGCACGTACGTACATCAGTTCTATCAATTATACTCGTTAATGAAAGCCAATCAAAAAGAAATTTAAAGTCACATTACAAAACTTCAAAAAAATTTAGTTCATGTGCTTAATAGAGAGGTAATCATATGGTGCATAGGTTGGTATATCTCATGAACGATTATTATAAGCATGAATAGTTGTCTATAAATCAAATAATACATATATTAATTTCAATTGAAGCTAGATCACCATGGAAAATCTGGAAGCACTAAATGGCCGTTTCGTCCTGTCGTGGAACTCCTCAGCAGTGTGTATCCACGATCCCGCCCCTCGACATTCGAACCCATGACTTATCAATCTCGCTCACGAGCGCTTAACCTCTAAACCACTGAGCCAGGCGGCATTCAACGATGTTAACGTCTAACTTCAATTAATCCACTAAATTGCACCACCGTCCACCATTGTCTTCAATGTGTTATACTATCACAACAGACCTGGTTGAACTACATTAGTTCGAACCCGGTGAGAGGGATCGTAGATGCGCATTACTGAGAAGTCCCATACTAAGACGAAACGTCCGTCTATTTCTTCCAAGTTTTCCATAATGGTCTCACTTTAATCTCCACAAATTCAGAGATATATTGATAAAAAAGCATTGAATTTGTTAGCTTTTTTTTCCTTCTTTATAGCAAAAGTGCATAATAGGAAGAAGAAGAAGAAGCCTGATCACTTTTATATGACATAATTATGCAACAACAATAGATCAAATGTGCAATGGTATCATCATGTGTACATATAATGATGGGGATTTTCTTTTTAAATCAAATAGCATTCAATTTAGAGCACTTTTTTTGTTTTATTTATAAATAATCACTAGGTGTTGGATTTATATAATCAGCTGTGTATCGTGTAGATGAGAATGTGAATTGTATTTACTTGTTGTTCTTGTTGTTGTTGTTGTTGAGATTTTCCATAATCATATATGATTGTTGATTTTATATTATCAACATTATGATTCTTTTTTATTATTGGTGATAAAATTGGTAAATTGATTTCAGTTCGCCAAATTTTCTTCGATATAATTGGTTTAATAGATGGTAAATCTACAGTGATCATCGATTTATCTATCCATGTAGGACATACAGTAACTTTAAAAGAAGTATGATGAGTAGTTGCTGATTTATTATGATTGTTTCTTGATTGTATGGTATTAATTGATTTTTCACATGATAATTGATTAGTGTTAATTGATACCGGTACGTTATTCGGTTTGTATATCGATGAGATAGTGAATAATGAACCGGATTTTCTTTGACTGACATGTGCAACAGTAGATCGACGTTTTACTTTAGAACGTATTTTCACAACTGGTTTAGTGGTTGTCTGTAGTAGATCTTGTTTCAAAGAACATGACCGAGCTATTGCAACCAATGATAGTCCTGGCATATTCCCCACCTTCTAACATAATGAATTGTATTCGATTTTAAAAAGTAGCTACATTTTTCGAAAAAATTTTCAACTGAAACTCAGATAACGAAAAGAACTTCAACAATAAATGTAAAATAAACCTGGTTGAAACTACTAATAACAAAAATCTTTTAATCAACTGTACTACCTCACATTGTTTATGTAACACCACAAAACGCGAAAAAATTTACGAAATGGGAATCATTTTTAGAAAGAATATGTTAATAGGTTGAATGAAGTTGAGAGGATCCCCTGAGCCCAAGTTTCGTGCTACTCGGAACACATTTTAAATCTTGAAAGAACTAATCCCTCTTATGGGACTCATGCCTACATTACTCAATTTTACAATAGTTACCACTGGATAGTAAAGTCTCTGTGTACTATATTCGCTTTCAAATGATTGAATGTGTTATTATTGTTATAGAACTAATATTTACAAATCATGACTAAACAGATAGAAGAAAATACATTAAGGTTTACACATTCACAAATGTATAATGAGAAAGAGATTGGTTAAATTATTAAGTGATATAGAGAGCAAACAATTTGTGATGGAATAGTGCCAACTACAACAGCAAATGTAATTACAATAATACTTAGTAACATAAACAATAAAACACACCAATGAACTGGTTAAAAATCTTCTAAAAATACAATTGGTCTGCTAATTTTGTCTAACTATGGAAACAACAAACCTAATGGATAAGATATTTACGAATTGATGTAGGAATTCGACAAACTACACTATAATGATATGATATTGACTTTATTGAATTGCAAAAAAAAAACAGAGAACATACAACAATGGAGCAATGAGCTGTAGTGTGGTTGAAACACTCGAATTCCAACCATTAGGCATTCGCACCATCCACATCTATTTGAGCAACTGGTTAGTATTATTTATTATCATACCGAGTGAGACTTTAAAACAAACAAGGTACATAATAAAAATAGGGTTTATCTTCTTATGTTTTATTATCTATACATCATTCGATATGCTGTCTACAAAAAAAGTATTCGTATAGCTTGATGATAATTTTTATTCTTGAAAAATTAATAAACTAATTTTCAAGTTTGATCTTCATCCAGTTGTCTACGCAAGATATTCAACATCCATTGGCCGGATACCATCAGCAACAGCCTACTATGTGAGAGAATAAACCAGCTTCCAGTTGAAGAGAAAATTAGGAAAAGATATTCAAAGTGGATAGAATATACAGTACGAAAATCACCAAACTGTATTACGAGACAAGCTCTAACTTGGAATCCTGAAGTGAAGCGGAAAAGAGGAAGGCCAAAGAACACATTACGTGGAAGAATAGAAGCAGATATGAAAAGGATGAATAACAACTAGAAAGAGCTGGAAAAGATTGCCCAGGACAAGGTTGGATGGTTAGTGGCCTATACTCCTTAACGAGGAGTAACAGGAGTAAGTAAGTATTACTTCATATTCAACTTGGTCGACTCTAAAAGCGATAAATTCCCACTGGATTTTCAGAAGTGACCCAAAATCTTTGTAAGTGAAGTTATTGGTTTGCTTGAACGTTCCAAAACTTAACGCAATAGCGTTCATTCAGCAATTTTGTTCGATCCCGTTCGAATCAAGTTTGATTCGTTATCGTTTACTGTTTTACCGGTAGTGTTTTATGATGGTGATGATATCTGATAGAGTAACACCATTTCTATTGTTATAAATAACTAGTGATTATTTTTACAGATTCCGTACTACCGATAAAATTTGTGCGCAAGTATAGTGACATGTGATTGTTGCAATAAATCCTGTGTCGTGCGATTTAGATACTTTAGTATGAGCAGAGTCGTAGAAATCGTCTTCTGGGACCTGCATAATAATCATGTTTAACCCATTCATTAAAATCTCCTTTGACAATATTATATCGTAAATTGATTGACTATGAAAGCCTGTGTCAGTGAATATCGATTACTTAGTTGATGGCAAAGGGATAGCATAAAGAACAGGTAATTCAAGGACATGAACCGTGGAGATAACCAGTTTGAAAGTTAGGATAAATTTTTCTTTCTGTTACAAATTTACTACATTTAAAAAAATTCTACACAACTCAACTAATATACAGTGGCATAAAGATAATGTACTCTTATAAACAGTTTGCAGCTCTCAAGAATATAGCGAAATATCTCATCAACTTCCCCAATGTTATATCAGCTTTACATGAAATACTGAAATAAACAATCAAGCTTGAAATATAGTAAGATGTATTCAAATAATCGAAGAACTCAGATTACAATTTAGTCATTTAGTAGTAATTGAAATATCTTATACAAAGACTAATAGTACTTCATACACGAATTAATTTGAATAAAGTAGTATTTTAAGAATATTTCCATTAGATCTACTTAGTTAACCTTGACCTAACTTATAAACGGATTATTATTACTTGAGTACAGAGTAACAATAATGAGATAATCAATAGATAGCACATTACTAGGTATGATCATATACACTGAACAATTAACTTTAATAGTACACAGATTAACAGCAAGAAAATCTGAAATGATAGTCCATGTCAAAATGTAAAAAGTTGATATACTTGACCTGCAATTACATCCTCAAGAGTGATTAAAAAAAATCGAACTAATATGGGTTTCTTTTTGTATAAAGTAAAGTTGATTATCAACGACTAGTGCTTATGTGTATATTTTTGTAAACATGTTGTTATTTATATTCACGTCTCTCTTATTATGAGCTTTATTTTGACCTATGAACTATTATTATACCATTTACCATTCTCGAGTTATGCCCTGTCTATTAATTACTACCTACCCCATTCACAGCCACATTTGGCTAAATCTTGTACAAATGTTGTTTCCTATTTTATGGTACGATGCGGTCTGTCTGGTTGGTATGTAAATCCAGTATGTTTGGAATACATAATTCATACTGTAGAGGCTGAGATTGGTGTTCTGAACTTAACTGGCTGCGTGGGTTAGGCAGGAAGCAGGACCGATAAGGACCCTAGACTGCTTGTACGCGTTTTATACGTCACTGGTCCGATCGATAATTTACTGCTCTCAAATTAGTGGTATCGTCACGTTATACATTACCAGGGCACACAGGCCTTAAGTTATAGCACATTTTAATTAGGTTAACATGTATTCATTAAGTTGAAAGGAAGTTATAAGCCTATTCGAAAAAGGGGGAGTTAGAAACATAGTTTATATTCCCTACAAGATCAAATATACTTTATTTGCTTTAGTACTTAATTTGTTAATTTAAAAAGATGTTGATTGTAACTGCATGTTAATAAATACGATTGATGATATATTGACCAAAGATCACGTTGTAAACCGAATGAACTAAAATTGAAATAATTGGATTGGAACTGATTGATCGATAAGGAATTTTGTACTAATTAATTTACTAGATACTAACTCATTCATTTGGCTTAGAGGAGAACTCTAAGTATGAGGGCTAGAGATACTAGCTGGGTGCTGAAGTTTAAGAAAAAGTGGAGCGGGTTTGAAGCCTAAAACCTGGTGGTTGAAAGCCGAGAGCTCTAATCAATAAGTCATCACTCTGTAACCTCACATTGACCGAAAAGATTGAAACTTTCGGCTTAAATTTTGTGTAAAGTCATGGATTTATCACTAGAGTAAAATGTCTAACCAGTGCTAGCTGATTTTGAACGATTTCTCGGCTGATATCAATTAATGGTAAAACTATGTCCTTTCAAATTAATCATTAGTCACTCAACTTGACTTAAATTGTAAAGAAAATCCTTCACTGATAGGCTGGGTGGATCTGAAAACGTTACGTGATTGTGCTCACATATTATATCACGACCGAAAGGTAGATGGAAAGTAGTAAATTAAGCACGCTATCGAGTGAGGCCGACTGCACACTCAGCAAAGGTCTAAATCTGTATGTCCTCATCTAGGCCATATATATATATATATATACTAATTTATTAGTGTACACTTTATTCGGTTTGCCAATTACAGCTTTATATTCATTCCTAGCTTTCTCACCAAAGCGTACCAGCTTGAGCAAGTGTATAAAAAGCATGTGAATATGGCCACGGATGTCGGTCAGAAGAACGATGAAAGCTCCATAACCAAACCATCCAGCTTAGAGAACAAAACTCCATCAAAATCATCCATCTCAGCTACAAATCTCAAAATCATATGAGCGTAGTACGCTTCTTTGTTCGAAAATGAGAGAATTTTCGCTAAAAGGCAGGCTTCCACTCGAGAACAACTGTATTTACTCCACGAGTGTCTACTTCAGCATGTTCTATTAACAAGTGCCCATTGGGATGAAGAATAGTTGAGCAAAGTGGAATAAAAATGGTACACCTAATGATAACTGATGCACATTACAGGATTCACAAATACCAACACGTCACAGAGGACCAAAAGATGAAGGTACAAAGGACATTCATTCACGTCAGAATATTTGGAAATTTTGACAACAGCCATCGAGATATCATGCAAACGACACAGAGAACAGAGAAGCAACACCCTGAAGAAGAAACTTATGTAGATAACATATTAAGAGAAAAGTTTTCTTCAAGTGAATCAAAGATTTTCGCTGATGGCCGTGAAAACTGTGCAAACAATCTAATGTCGAAAAAAAACAGTAGTAGTAAATCAAGGCGAATAATATCAATAGATTGTAAACTTATGTTACAAATAACTTCATTTCGCATTACTTACTCACTTACTTACGCCTGTTACTCCTCGTGAAGGAGCATAGGCCTCTCACCAGCATTCTCCATCCAACCCATTTCATTTCGCATATCTATTAAATAATCAATATCTCTTTCTACAATAGTCTTATGATCATTTCGTTAAAAAGAAAACATTGTTGTTTCCACTTAAGTTACACATTTAAAAACTCTGATGGAGGGAACAATCCACAAATGTTTAGTTGTTTGAAAAAAAACGTAGAAAGATATGCATATTGAAGTAAATCTCATAGTGAACGAGCTAGTAAACATACATTTTGTGTACATAAAATTATATTGTTAAGTGTACTACACTTTTGATTAATTCATTTCAAGAACTGTATATCACATTATAAATTATCAGAAGAGGTTTTATGGATATTGTAGTAATTTTAATAGTTGAGATCATGAGTCAATTGAAGCTAGCTATTGTAGGATAGTAGCACACTGAAGGCAATGGTGGATGTGTCGCTCAATTTTGTAGATTAGTTGAAGTTAAACATTAACACAGTTGGATAACGGCCAACTCAATGGTCTAATAATGGTTAAGCGCTCATGCGCAAGACTGATAGATCTTGGGTTCGAATGTCGAAAGGCGGGATCGTGGATACACACTTCTGAGGAGTCCCACAGTAGGACGAAATGGCCGTCCAGTGCTTTCTGGTTTTCCATGGTGATCTAGCTTCGACTGATTCATGATCTCAACTAGTAAAATTACATAGAAATTACTCATATAATTACAACTTATGCTAAATCTGTAACGATGGAATATTAAGAAGGAAATATTCTATTTTAATCGTGAAAGTATACATAACGAATATAAAAACAATTAAGAGAAATAATACACTTACTGAATCAGATTGTTTTGTTAATTCGTAATGATTATCAGAAGTTGTTTGTTCAAGACTAACACCACTATCACCACTATTATCATTTATTTGTTTAAGATTTTTATTTGATTCATGTTTATTTTTTGTATTATCATGTTCTTCATCGATTGGATCATTTTTATTATTATCATTATCAACATCATTATCATCATCATCACCATCACAAACGATTTCAACAGGAATTGATAATTTCGTAGAATCTGACAGTATAAGTGGATTCAAATCATTATCGTCAATTTCATCAATCTACAATGAATAGAATATTATTTTGTTTGTCTCAATTACTGTTAAATTTATGGAGACAACGAGTCTTAGTTATTGGATTGTAGTAGTAGCAGTCATAATAGTATTATATCTATATATATATATATATATATATATATATATATATATATTTAACAGTTTGGGTGATATTCGGAATCATAGATCTCAGTTGAAAAGTTCTTTTTTATGGTTCATAAATATTGCCTTGTATAAATCAATCAAATAGTGACAACGTAGAACCGAGCACACATACAGAGCATTTGGCCCGGATTCTCACACTTTACGTTAGCATAACTCAAATGGTAAATTAACAGGATATAAGCCGAAGAGAATAGTCAAAGTAATCGTATCGGTAATTTTTTAGACAATTCACACAGTCGTTATTAAATAATCATGGGAAGTAGACGATAGAAGATAGAACAAGAAAAATAACATCTAACAACCTTAATTGCCTTTACTCAATTATTTCATATAAAATAATCAATTAATTTACTAGTAATTAAGTCACACAGACTGCGCGGCAGTTCGTTCTGTTTTACTTTACGGCCGCGAAACGTGGCCATTAAGAGTAGACGATATTCGTAAGCTACTAGTATTTGATCACAGATGCCTTAGAAATATTGCTCGCATCTGCAGGGATCACCGGGTAAGTAATAGTGGGGGTAGACACAGGGTATTAGGAAATGATGGTAAATTAGTTGATAAGGTTGTGAATCTTCATTGACTGAGATGGTTGGGCCACGTATTACGCATACCCGACCACCGATTACCACAGTGTGCAATGCTGACTGGTGTTAGAGACGGATGTAAGGAAGTTGGGAGCGGCCAAACCTAAACGTGGCACCAGTCCACAAAGTCACTAACTTCTGGTCTGAGCCATGTTGGGAGATGCAAACTACTTAGTTCGGGTCCGCGTGACTATCGTAACCAATGGTTGGATACTCTGGATGACATGGATCAGAATCCATCACAATGGCGTCGGTGTATACACTCTTTGTCTTTCCTTAAAACGTGAGATTAAAATTGTTTCATTTCTTTCTTTCTATGAACTAATTCTTTCTTCCTGTACTATATCCTTATATGAAATCTTTCTTTTATATAATACCACCATTGAATTAATTGCTTCTATGAATTCAGTGTTCATCTTGTTGTGTTAATGAGGTATGGCAACTTGGACCAATCCACATATGTGCCTGGTCCTACGTTGTAACTGACTGACTGAAGTCACACACTTTTGATAAAAAATACCAGAGATGGAGACAAAGAGAGAGATACATTAATTTATAGTTAATATGTATATATATGATGATGGTTTATACAAAAATGTACATTTTATTTTCTACTGAACTTAGGAATGTTTCTACTAAGTCACATCAAGTTCTTTCAACATTCTATTTAAAAGAAGAATCATGTTTGCTTGTTTGTTTGTTTCGTTGTTGTATTTGTTGTTCCTTTTTAAATGACTATTTAGATTGAATTTGAGAAGATAATTATTATCAATACACTATAATGTATGATGAAGATGTGGTGATTTGGTTTAGATAGAGAACTTTCAAACAATAGGTTATATGTTTAAATCAAGCTTTACTTCAATTAATGTAAAGAGATAAGACATAGTTTCAACTGAATGGAATAAGAATGAAAAGTGGTAACCATATACTAAGACATGAACTAGATAAAGACGAATATTGAACGTGTAAAGATTTTAATAGCACCTTGAAAAAAAAGTTTAAAATAATGACCTCGTTCGTATTAAGCTTGATTAAAATCTAATGACTGAACTTCTACTAGGTTACAAAGTTGCATTTACCAATGATTAGTAGAATATAAATTATTCACGATTCTTCATATTATTAAGTGAAGTTTCATCCTAATAATGATCAGTTACTCATTAATGACTAATTGCTAGTATACACTGTTGAAAAGTCCTATGATAAGAGAAAATAGCTTCCTGGTATTACATTTTACGACTTAAACTGTATTGACGTTAGATAATCTCTGCAAATCTTCCATATAGTGAAAATTCCCATTTTGCTATTTGGTAAATAAAGAAGGAACGAATTGAGCATCTGGTAGCATTAAATGTTTTTTGTACGGCTCTTCTTAATTTCTGAGTTCAGATTTCTTCAATGGTGTCATTTATGAATTGTAGTTTTATGAATAGTACCTTCTTATGGACGGTGAGTATCTTTGTCCTTGTTTCCTTCTCCATCATATGTTTGTCGATGAATTTCATGGGATACCCATTCATACTAAGTAGGTTCCGAATATTATTCAATTCTTCTTCAATGGTGTCTTCAGAGCAAATCATCCTAGCCCGATGTGTCAAGATCTTTATCAAGTTCCATTTGTATCTGATTGGAACTGCACTATGGAAATGAGTGTATTGTCCTGCTGCAGACTTTCTGTGTACCCCTCTTTTTAAAGGTCCATAGTCATAAAATGAAGCAAAGTTATTGAAACCGGTTTTCATTTATTATTTTAAAAGACAAACGACTTAAGTTCACATTTATGTCAATAAGAGTAATATCATATTTTCAAACTGTTTAATCCCTTTATCTGATAGTTTAGTTTTTTATTCAATTTCGATCTGAAAGTACACATGTGTATACAGTTTATCGCCCTTAACAAAAAATTTCGTCGAATAAAAGTAAGTTGAATTTACTTTACAAACGATACGACTGTATATCTAACCTTTTTAGATAAACTCATCAGTTAGTCAGCTACAACGTAAGACCAGGCACATATATGTACCGGTCCAAGTTGCCATACCTCATTAACACAACAAGATGAACACTGAATTCATAGAAGCAATTAATTCAATGGTGGTATTATATAAAAGAAAGATTGCATATAAGGATATAGTACAGGAAGAAAGAATTAGTTCATAGAAAGAAAGAAATGAAACAATTTTAATCTCACGTTTTAAGGAAAGACAAAGAGTGTATACACCGATGCCATTGTTATGGATTCTGATCCATGTCATCCAGAGTATCCAACCATTGGTTACGATAGTCACGCGGACCCGAACTAAGTAGTTTGCATCTCCCAACATGGCTCAGACCAGAAGTTAGTGACTTTGTGGACTGGTGCCACGTTTAGGTTTGGCCGCTCCCAACTTCCTTACATCCGTCTCTAACACCAGTCAGCATTGCGCACTGTGTTAATCGGTGGTCGGGTATGCGTAATACGTGGCCCAACCATCTCAGTCAATGAAGATTAACAACTGCATCAACTAACTTACCATCATTTCCTAATACCCTGTGTCTAACCTCACTATTACTTACCCAGTGATCCCATCATTATAACCGAGTGAACCACTATATCTGACTTTAGATATATCTAGACCAATTCACAGTTTTCTTGACTAAAGTGGGAATATAATTAAAGAGAATATGTTTAGTTTGTTTATTTACCTCGCCCGGCTCAATTTAAATTATTGTTTCTTTACACTGATTTTCTCTTTCTAGATCAGCCAGTTATATATAACTTAGAATCTATCACACATGTACATCGTTTTACGTTACCACACCATACTAGCACTTTCTATATAATACGCCATCTTTAGAACTCAAAAGCCTCATGTCGTTAGGTCTCTCTCTCTCCATGTGTCTGTACTACCAATATCCACCATCACTATTCATAAGTGTGAATATATACTCTGAGAATACTATGTAAGAAGGTTGAAAGGTCAGAAGAAAATATAATTATAGACTTATCAGAATATTAATTAACAAGTCAAATAATGGATGATAGCATGTTCTGATTTTATCTCCTTCAAATAAACATGCGATAGTGCTTATTTGATAAGTTATACAATCAACATAAGTTAAATAAAGGACATCACTATTCAGACACATAAATATCTCTCTTTCTCAAACTATCTAGCATATAAAACAAAACAAAATGGCCTAATTATCTAAGCAAACAATATCAACCATATATATATACGTGTATATGTTTATAAATGTGCTTTATTGTAACTAACACATTGTTATTACAAGACAAAACATATAAGGAGAAAAACTTGTGAATGTACACTATGCGACAATCATTAAAACACTATGGATTTGAATATACATGTTATATACAAACTTAGGAGAAAATAAATCGATTGATGATAATAATCTACCAGGTCATTATATTATTGATGTTGAGAATCAGATTATTTCACAGTGTTAATAGTTTACCAGTTTTAACTCTAAAAGTTATTTAGTCGTAGTTGTAAGTCCCGGTCCACTTGAGTTGACTTCGATAACCCAGTGGATATCACTGGCTATCTTAAATAAGTGTTGTTCGAAGATCAGTGAACATAGGCTTACACTTGGCATATGAATTATATTTTTTTGAAAAATATTCAGATCAAATATGGTTCCAGATACAACTTGCTGAAATGCCAGCAAGAATGAAACTTCTATTAAATGTTCCGTACTAACTTCATCAGTCAGTCAGTCATAAGAAACGCAGAACCTAACACATCGATTTAAGCTCCCATATGATATCAGCATGGAGAGATGCCAGAGTAGCATAATTAGTAACATTATTAAAGGTAGTCATACGTCAACTATGATTGATATAAGCCAACTAATGGTATGGAATAAGATGTAGAAACTATGAATACAATTCAGCAGCTTGATATAAGTTTATATATTAGATTTTTCAGTACTATTTTCGTATATAAAAACTGAAGATAACTTCAGGCTAGATAAAAGCAAATCAAGTGAAAACAGTCTCGAATCGGTTGACAACTTGAGTATAGTTATTAATAATAATCATTCAAACAAATTACGTGATATGTAAATAAATAAAAAAAGCCTTTGAATATGTCATCTATTTACAAAATATCAATTATAGTGCATTTGGGTTTCCCATCAATAGATTTCAAGTTCGAGTTCACTTCACATATCTTAATTTTGGTATTATATATAGTTAGTATCATTATCCTTAGCAACTAACATGTGGCCGTAAGCTATGTATGAGAACCTTTACTCAACAGGTGGATCACATTATTATTATTATTATTATTATTATTACGTGTATTTCTGAAGTAACTTACAGGCTCATTTGGATCGAAATCTTCAACTGTTTCAATAATATCTGCATTGACTTCACATAATAGTATTTGAATTACTTTACGATCATTTTCCGTCACATCAGAAACAAATGGATCCTGTGAATAAACAATATAAAACAAAACAAATATCGAACACGCGGTCAAAATTTCTTGCTCTACTAAATATTTGTATCAGGAGTTTTGTGGAGATTTTAGAGATTTCACTGGTTGGAATCATGAGTCAATTGAAGCTAGACCACCATGAAAAACCTGGGGACATTGGACGGTCGTTTCGTCCTAGTATGGGACTCCTCAGCAATACGCATCCACGATCCCGCACTCCGCGGGTTCTGAACCCTGGACCTATCAGTATTGCGCCACGCGCTTAACCAACTAGACCACTGAGCCGGCACCCAACGGTGTTAATGTCTAACTTCAACCAATCCATGAAGTTGCGCCACCGTACATCATTGTCTTCAGTGAGTTGATTTCTCACAACAGACCTAGTTGAACTCTACTGGTAACGGCTTCTCACTAGAATGAAATCAGTCACTAGTGAGCAGATGATTTTTCATGGTGGTCTTGCTTCAATTGACTCATGATTTCAATCAGTGAAATATTTGTATAATAACATCTTAATCTATGTTTGAGAAGATATCTTACACATCTGTATCTTTTATACAGCCATCACAAGTCATGACAATTCATGGATTTTCGTAATCAGCATTACCACCTTATTGCTTATATAATTTCCAGTTTAACACAACTACAGATAGTTCACTTCTATTCAAGAAAACAAATTGACTGAAAATTGGCAATTCATATATAATAACAAAATATTGTAGTTAGTATATGTGTGGTATGTTGATAAAATCATAGATGAGTTATGTCACATAAATAGTATAATGTGTTAATGTGTGGTTTTATTTCATCAATAGAGAAAAAAAAAAGAAAAGAAAGAAACAACAACCAAGTTTATAAAACAAAACACTATACTTAGATAATTATTAATTTGTAAACAAAAACTTGTAGTCAAGACATCATGAACAAACAGGTAAAGAAAGTCGAGCACTTTAAAACTCTAATCAATATTCATTTTAAGCTTTAAAGAAAAGAGAATGAATAAACTGTTGAAATCTCATAGAATAACTAAGACTTAATTTGAAGAAAAATGTCAATTATGAACTATCATCAAATGATGAAGAAGCATTGAGCAGTGTTCTTTGACACTTCAAGAGAATAGATTCAATTTAGGTGAGATGTTTCGGAGGTATTTAATTGAGGAAAGTAGATTATGCCCCGGTCAAGAATCCGTTGCCTACTTGTCGTTATCTAGGTCAAAGAGGGTGAATAAGTAAATACCCATGAATTATGTACATTAAAACTTAGTTTGACAATGTTGGGATGGTTCACAGAACACGTAACGAGACCTCCGGAGGATTTAAAGGAGCCGAACTTCCTAGAATATTAACGTAGGATGTTCTAATTGGACAATTGTATAAACTTTCAAAGTGAGAACTCGCTGGATCATAATGATGTTATAGCCTACACCAGAAACTATAAATAGACCTGTTCTGTACACTGAAAACACTTACTCAATAAACCGTCCTCCCACTTTCTTCTGTCTTTTCGATTTTTGAATGTGGATTCTACGCGTCCGACTGATGAAGTAATATATCTTATTAGTCGTAATCAAGTAGAAGACTTGACAGGCAAGTGAATATTTCTATTCATATAGTTTTCTCACATTCACAGTTTATTTTTTATTTATTTATTTGAACACATATATATTGGTACAGGAGTGAGCCAAATATATATGCGCCACACCTTCACAGTGGACTTGGTATACCGTAGGAGGTGTATATTTTGATCAAATCATACAGCAGAATACATGATTATACAACTAATCAATTTCACGGGCTGGATTTTTCATATTACAACAAGATAAACTAGTAGAATTGATGCAGAAACCCAGTTGGAGAACTTTCATCATCAATCATTTGAACTATAATCAATTTCAAATTACACATTAGCATAGTCCTCCTCATATATCGTCATATAGTGCCAGAATTGAAAGATTCATATCTATTAAATTGTCAATTCACGGTCCTGGAGGAGCGAACATATCTCTTGTAATTTGGTTGGTCAAAAAACGTTATATTATTCTAGTAAGTAAATAAGTGCGGTGGCTTAGTGGTTAAGGTGTTCAACTTCCAGCCAGTTAGTTCTCAGTTCAGACCCCACTCCACCTATTCCCTTTTGCACAGCCGGATAGTATAATTGACCCTTACACCTAGGATGTGGTTTACACACAAGTACTTAGGGAATAATTTAATTTAAGTATATCAGCAAAAACAAGGTGTTTAGGACTAGATGTTGTGCTTCTGATAAATGTACTTGCATGAATATTGTCTTACGAGAACGTTTTACCAAGTCATGAATTACTGTTAGATTTGTCATTTAATTTGATTAGCAGCATACTCGGTCAATACGTACCAGTTAGTGTGATAAAATACAGAAAAATAAATGACATCCATTTAAATGACAAGCAGCTATAACTTTCTATGTCTAAATTGAAACCTAGTAACGGCAGTTGTGCTTCTGGTAAGAAAGCATCTAACTGGTAAAGTGAGAATTATTACTGACTTGAATATCAATACATTCACTCACTACGTCAGTATAAAATGTATTTGATAAAAAAGCCATCAACTTACCAAGAGAAGATCTCTACACTCGGGTCTTTGATTTGGATCTTTTTGTAGAGTACGCTCCAAGAACGTTTTGAATTTTGAAGACCTATAATAAATTATAATCAAATAAAAAATAATTTAACGGGAGAGTCGGTAATACTAACTGCTTACCTAAATGAAACTAAATGAAAGAAAGTACAGAGTTTTCATTAAAATGTGGAAAAATACAGTCATAGAAGCTTATAAAAAGAAATAATAAAAGTTAAGTATGAAACGGTAGTTTATTTGCTAAACTATAAGGCTAACTCACTAATCAAGTAAAAATTTATGCGCTCGGTTTTGAAGTACACTTTAAAAGTATTTAAGTGCGGAGGGTTTCGAACCTAAAATCTAACACTTGAAAGTTAAGTATTCTAAACAAAAAGTTACTGAAAAAGAACACTAGTGTTCCAATTATTGAGTTATACACTTGAATCTTTCTCTGTTTACTTTGATCCAAGCAGCTACATAGTATTATTAATCTTTATACATAAGTGCAGCTCTAAACGAAGTAATCGAGTAAGTACATACCCAGCATGTATTTTATTATTTATTCATTTAAACACATAAATATTGGTACAGAAGGGCACCAAATATACATGCGCCACACAAAACAATGAGAATTCGAAGAGAACAAGGAAAAAAAGTGAGGAGCGTAAAAAAGAAATAACAATAACGAACAGATTAGTGTAAGGTAGTGTAATAATAATAATGGGGGAGACGGAAAGGGACAACCATAAAGAATTCCTTCAGTTCAGGAAGATACAACCACTTTTTATGAAGAAAGTAAAAGAAGGTTACAGCAGGATCACCATTGGCTTCTATTCTGAGCCATATCTGATAATGTCTCTAGCAACTGTGTTGTACCATCTCTCGAACCCCAGCCAAGGAGTCGTGAAAGACCAACAGAACCCAGTCCTTTGCAGCTTTCTTTCATACCACGACACTATGTCATGCACTGACCACCTCTCCGTTTCTTCCAACCAGTCCCAGAGTCGGCAAATAATGCACGACGTGGAACTCTCTGGGACGACATTCGGAGAACATGTCCAAGCCACCGAAGTCGGTGTTTCAAGATGGTGACACCAATTGCATTATCGTCTCTGTGCCCGAACACACGATGCCGAACCTCTGCATTACTAATATGGTGTTGCCACTGGATGTCAGCAATCCTTCGGAGACAGCGATGATCAAACACAGAGAGTCGTCTAACATCCTCAACTCGGATAGGCCAGGTTTCAATTAAAGAAATCACTAGAAATTTATTCAACACCACATTGTTAGAATTTGAAATAAACAATTAATCCGTAAATTAAAAGACATGAACGAATAACATTGTACAATGAGTTTAATAAGCATATAGTAAATGGAATTGTTAGTTTAATATCTAGAAAAAATATACCCATTACAGAAAGTATTCAATGTTACTATTGTTGATGAGAGATAACGTATACTACAGAACTACTAGTTACAAATGTAGTAGTGCACAAATCAATCATTATCAATAGTACTTCATTCCATTAATTTTTATCATAAGAGTTATGTTAATAAATAAATAGTTGGTAATATTTTGTTTCCATAGTTTGCAGTTGAATTAGTACTATGCCATTTATCAGAAAAACAGACGGCGAGACTATAATTTATGGACGAACCAATTATGTATAAGATAACAGGTCTCGAATTTTGGCACTAAATTCACTCATCCACTTGAGTCAATAGAGTCTTGGCATTATAGCTTATGTCAGTTAATAACAAAAACCCTAAATAGAATTCCTAACCTTAACCGTCAACTATAAATCACAATTCGAAGTCCTCACACTGGTTTACAACCCTCATTTCGTCCTGGTTATTAGGTGGACACTCTCAAGGTTACTTTAACGTCGCTCAAAGGTCGTTCATAAATTATAGTCTCACCGAACAGACATTTCAAATACAACATCAATTCGTTTGTGATATCGTGAAAACAATTGATCGAAAACCCTGTGAATTGAAACCTTCTACAATAAAATACGAATTGTACTAAAATACATATGATACAACTCAATAACCAAAGTGACTGATTCCAACGTTACGATGTGAATCACATCCAACGAATTGCTTGAATAGAAAGATAAAGCTCAAGATTTCATAACATGATAAAATGAAGGTTTATAGCTGGAAAAGTATAACTATTTCAGAAAAATACTATTACATACACATAGTTCCCTTTATGATTTTGAAAAGAGCAAGAACAAAGATTCCATCAGAATAGCATGAATTCGTTTTTATTTTTTGAACATGATGCAAAAATTCTCAGAACAAGGGAAAGAAAGACTCTAAACAGTGAAATCACCAAACATCTCCTTGATACAAGACATCTGCTAAACTCTAGTCTTCTGAAGTTTGCTGAAGCCGTGGCTATCAGGAGTCAAAATCCTGACTTTTATGTTCAAAAGGAGATGGTTATTAATCTTGCCTTTCCTTTCCTTGATGACAAATATTCCTTCGTTGCATCTTCTTCTTTAAACTCTTTCTTGCATTTATTACATCATTGAATTTTATTTCAACTATCTTCCAAATTAATAATCTTATTTTATCAACTGAGCTCTACTCACGATATTCCTATCAATGTTTACTCATTATACAATCATCACTTGTTTCTAGCCGTTTGAACTGTTGTCACAATCAATGTTGTAAAATGTTCTTTCATCACATAAAGTATATATTTACAATATTCAGTCTATCAATTTCATTTACACGTTTCCGAACTTCCAACCAAACCGTCTCATGTAAGTAATTGAAATCCATTATGTAATTATGATTTTTTAAATATCATAGGTTGTAAGCAGCTGATGAGAACCTACGAAATAGAAATGAATTCATGCTGTTCTGCTAGAATCTTTGTTCTTGCTCTTTTCAAAATACTATCATGTAAATATATCTCCGTTATATATTTCATTGTCAATTTATGATTCTTATCAATACATCTATTAATTAATAAATATAAATAAAATAAACATCATATGACTGTCCAAAATTTATTATTTATTTGAACACATGAATATTGGTACAAGAGAGCGCCAATATATATGCGCCACACAAAACAATGAGAATTCGAAGAGAACAAGGAAAAAAAGTGAGGAGCGCAAAAAAAAGAGAACAATAACGAGGAGATTGGTGTAAGGTAGTATGGTAGAAATGAGGGAACGGAAAGGTACAATCAGAAGAAATCTTTCAGGTAAGGGAGACACAACCACTTTTTATGAAGAAAGTAAAAGAAGGTTACAGCAGGATCGCCACTGGCTTCTATTCTGAACCATATCTGATAATGTCTCTAGCAACTGTGTTGTACCATCTCTCAGACCCCAACCAGGGAGTCGTGAAAGACCAACACAAGCCAGTCCTTTGCAGCTTTCTTTCATACCACGACACTATGTCATATACTGACCACCTCTCCGCTTCTTCCAACCAGTCCCAGAGTCGGCAAATAATGCACGACGTGGAACTCTCTGGGACGACATTCGGAGAACATGTCCAAGCCACCGAAGTCGGTGTTTCAAGATGGTGACACCAATTGCATTATCGTCTCTGTGCCCGAACACACGATGCCGAACCTCTGCATTACTGACATGGTGTTGCCACTGGATGTCAGCAATCCTTCGGAGACAGCGATGATCAAACACAGAGAGTCGTCTAACGTCCTCAACTCGGAGAGACCAGGTTTCACAAGCATATCGATAACAAACTTAAGTATTGTATTTATTTACTGAGCACAGAATTACGTAACTTACGTACTTGGTTTGTTGACCATGTTTAAGGGTTAGTGATAATATCCGATTGTTCAAACAAAAGTAAGTGGGATGGGGTTCGATTCATGTTGTAACCACTGAGCTGCTGCTACTCTAAAAACTGTATATTAGAACAACGAGATCAAACGCAACTCTGATGCTAAATATTATGATCAGTTCATGCTGCTAAGGGTATGATACCTTATAATGTATGATAAGTACAGAAAGTTTATGGAGAGAAATCTGGAATCTTTGACTTACTATGTATATATGACCTAATTTAGATAACTAACAATTGAGATTTCGGACAATAAGGTTAATCCATCAAATAAATGGTAACTCACCATAATTGTGGTCTAGATAAAGTTGGTGGGTCAGACTTCAGAATTCTCAACAAAACACGTGTTGGATTAGTAGCGTTATGAGGTGGTCTCTTTTGAGCAAGTTCAATTAGAGTTATACCTACACAAAGTTAGCAATAGATCTTTATTCAACAAAAAGAAAGGGATACGCTTATCAAAACAAAATTAAATAATTCGCCTTGATAGGTCGAAGTGAGTTGCATTGAATGAGAATACCCAAGAATCTCCGACTGATTTAAATTTTCCACTTGCAACACTAAATTGTAGAAAAATATGTAGTCTTTAAGGAACTAGTACTTCGTTCAAATATACAAATTTAGATAATTTGTTGCCATGGTTGAAACATTAAGAGTAGCGAATTCATGAAGAAGACTTAGCTTCTGCTATATTACAACCTAAATCATTGTTATAAGACTTCGTGTTAAGGTTTGATAACAATGAAGTTTAAAGTCTCTAATTATCCAAAACTAAGTACATTGTATTATGATATCCGGTCATCAGCTTGATTGAATAATCCTTTAAACGAATCAAGTGAACAATATGACAGAATTATATTAGTTAAAGAACATAGAAACATTTATTTTTTAAGCAGCTACAAAATTATTTACCACTTACGAAGAGATATGAACTGGGGATAAGTTTTATATGGCGTTGTTCAATTTAGCTTAATTAACGTCGTTCATTCAGTCTAACATCTAAACGTCTCAGTAACTATTGGAACACCAATGCAAGTGAGAAATCTCAGCCAATTATATATATACTCACAAAAGAATTTTCACTTCACCATATGATTTTAGTTAAACAGGTACTGAACGATGGGTAGCTTCCGTACACAAAATATGGCACTTTGAATTCAACAGATCAAGTGACTTTCATCCATAATTCTTTTGATGAAATCGATAAGGTTTAATTCTTTTTCACAAAATCACAAAAGAAAGTGCGAAAGGTCAATTGAACACAAATCACAATTTAGTTGTTTAAAACCTTTTGTCTAATAGTAAGTGTATATATTTCTATATTAATGAGCCAAGGTAGTAGTATTTAGAATAGAAATGCATGTAGGATATGAGAAACAAACATTTACAGCTTCATAGACACTATAAGCCACAGTGACTGCTCCTTTGTGACTTATAAATATATAGGTAATTAACTCACCTCTGTAAGGAATCTAATATGAAGTCCTCTGAGTGTTTATAGCTAGAATAAAACTCAGTACTTTGACACAGTCAGCCAGTCAACAACATAGAACTTAGTACACAATTACATCAGTTCGAGTTGTCATACCACATTAACAAACAGATACAAGTGTCTATTCAAATCCCATAGTAGAGGTAGTAAGAGTATAAGATGTTACTCAAGGAGTATAATCCAGTAAAATCAATTTGGGAAATAACAGGGACATGAAGAATTCAGAAGATTAGAATTTCAGAGAACACGAAAAGTGGATGCACCTGCACCATTGCAAACAATTTTGAGCCATGTCATTCAAGGTTTCTAACCATCGGTTGCTATCATCTCGCAGATCCCTGGAACCAGATAGTCTACACCTACCAACATCACTCAGTCCACTTGTCAGTCACTTCATGGACTTGTGTCATGTTTTCGTCTGGCCGCCCACAGCTTTCTCCCAACCTACTCCTACACCATAGAACATCACAAGTCGGGGAAGTCGGTGGTTGGGCATACGTAACACATGTCCCAGCCATCCCAGACAACTCATGAAGTTTCACTACTTCATCATTTGATTTGCCATCCTTACCTAGTACCTGTGTCCTAGCATCTGCTTTACTTACTCGGTGGTCCCAGGATATATGAAAAATGCTTCAGTAATTTGACACAAGGAGGTGTTTGGTAGCAAGAGTACTAACTCAACGAAGGGTTTCGCTTTATACAAACTGGTATTAGTAAACCTGATGACATGAAAAAAATGCGACAGGAGTGCGACGCTTTCGGCAATTGCACAATCTTTATCCATGGAACATGTAGATATCAGTAAATAAGAGTTATCACTAAATAAATCATTGACCATGTGAACGTTTATGAGATAGAATGTGCCCCACATGATTACCAGGACAACAATAGTGTAGACATTGTTTGTTGTATTTAAAGTTATAAATCATGACCCAGCAAAATAGTACTAGTCAATAGAATAGTGATATATATATATATCCTTTAATTCAGCCACGCGACACGAATTAAACAGAGAAAGTCGAACATTTGTGTTAATAAACCCGAAAGTGATAATAAACCCTACTATATCTAAATTAAACATCATACAATATGTACATTAAAATCAACAACAGAACCACATAATCTACAAAGAATAATTACTGAAAATAAATCAATGGAACACACCAAAAGACCATATATCTGCTTTCCAGTTATAAGGAGCATCTTTAAAAGTTTCACAATTGATAACTTCTGGTGCCATCCAGTAAGGTGTCCCGATGAATGTCGATCGCTTTTGCTTTTCATCCGTTAACTTGGCAGAAACTCCAAAGTCAGCTGTTAATCGAAAAACAATTTTAAGAAGCTGAAATTGTCTTTAAATTCACTATTTCAAAAATATTTATATCCATTTATCCACAGAAAGACAACAATTTAATGTAGTGAATATACACATATATCTCCTTTTACCTGCTTTATGTGCAAATGATAATGAACACACTCACTCAGAATCTTGAACATGAACTTTTCAGCTAGAACTTCGTTGAAGATGCCACGAGCTCACTTAAACGACTTGGATATCACAAATTGAATGCTTGCAGCTGTAGAATAAAGCACGGGTTATAAAGAGAACTCAAATCAAACAGGAGCTAGTCAGTTTTCCTGCGCTAGCCAAACACAGGGTCCCCTAGACGTTTACTGTGCCAACCTCCCGAATAAAAATATTGAGATGTAAATCATCGTATCATTAAACTCTACTTGTTTTCACTACAAACTTTAACATTAAACCGCTGCAAATAAGCTGTGTCATTAGTGAAAAGACCTCGAAGTCCGCCTGACGATAAAATCTAAGAAAGATTTACAACGTTTCTTAATTCTCCGATGTCACTTAGTTTTCTTAAATTACTTGGATCATACAACATGAACCTACAGCCAATGAAGATTTTTTTCGTTGATTAGTTTCTGAAAAAATATATTACTCCACCATATTTGCCGTTCAAGTTTTAACAAGTACCAATACTGATAAACATGTAAGGTTGAGAAGACTTGGTGTTAGGTGAGAAGCATTTGTATTACAACCTGATTTCCCCTAACAAAACACGTTAATGGTAAGATGCGAACGTCAGTGTTCACTACAGATATATATAAATTGTTTACTTGAAATCTGAATCGTGTGGATGACTAACCAAGTTTAACTTCGTTATTAAGAGTGAGTAGGATGTTTCCAGCCTTCATGTCTCGGTGGATTATCAGCTTCTCATGAAGGAATTCAAGACCCTGAAGGACTTCTCTGGAGATAAATCTGATCTGAGGCTCAGTCAAAGGCTTTTCAAGAGTCTCCATAATAGAGTCCAAAGCTCCGCCACCACATAGTTCCAGATAAATCTTTCTAGTAATGTATATGAAGAATAACCTACCCACAATTTGCTTTCATATATGTAAACTTCGTGCAAAGTCAGTATGTTCTTATGCTTGAAGTTAGTAAGGATGTCTATTTCCAACATGAAATCTTCAAGTTCATCCTCAGATTCAAAATCAACCCGTTTAAGTGCAGCAAATAAGTCAGTATTACGCTTATGAGTCTACAAACACGTCGACCAAAATAAAATGCGCACCTTGTACACTTTGCCGAATGCCCCATCTCCAAGCTCCGAAATAATTTCCCATATATCTGTTGGGTTAACATTCCTTTCTATTGTAGTGGAGAAGCTCTTTTTCGCAGACTCGTCAGCTGATATAAACTTCTTAAAAAACGACTTGAGCATTTCAGGCCTAAAAAACGCGCGGACGCTTGAGGTCACACAAAAATACCCATTGGTGAATTCAAACAGCGTGCTGCGAATAAGAAAGTAAGTTGACTGATCTGTCTTAAACTTTGTGTATTTGATCTACAAGTGCCACTCCTTTCTATAAGTTTCACTCATTATCTAGTTATTTTCCAGGACAAGGAGCTCTAATCTCTTAAACATGTTTTGTTCGGCAGCATTAGCGAACTACACTTTCCTTCATTAACAAATGAAATGTTTTATTTCCTAAAGCAGGGAGGTTTGAAAACAGAGTTCGTCTAATATTTTGACGTTTTACTGCTTCAATGACTACCATTTGAAGTTATCCGTTGGTAAATTTTTATTGTTGCTCTCTTAAGGTCATCGCTTGTCGAACCTTATGTGGTTTGCTCTTTTGACATCATTCTTGTTCAAATGGTCACCCAAAGTCATCGATAAAGTCTGTTATGTGTTTCTTCCCTGTTGAAGATGACACGCAGCCTGACAAGTGTTAGATATGGTTCCATAATGTAAGTATTATTCTACTGTAGCTTGCGCGTAGACGTTCCAGAAGTCCGGTTTCACTCTCGTTATATAAATAGTACTGACTAATAAAAGCGATCCTCTTAGATGAAGTCCCACAGCTTTTCACTCTAATGAAGGAATTTTTAAATTATTATCCCCGCTCAACGAGCCTGACATGAAACAAAGAAGAAACTACAAGCGTGATTGATAATAGTATCAGTTTACCTCGTACCCATGAATAAATGGTTGACGCTCAAAGGGTGAAGTTATTGCAATAGGTCTAAATTTCAAATTTTTTCACCAGATACTTTCTTGAGTTTATCTTCATCTTTCTCCACATTTTCGGTATGAGATTAGATGAGAAGGATCTATTGAGGTTGGTCGTGAATGGGTAATATAGGACGCCAGCACACCTAAAAAGGAGGTTTGGGATACATCAGGTCCTAAACATAGGGATGAATTAAGTGACTGGAGACATCTTCGGACATCAGTTTCAGTGAAAATAGGAACATAGATATTCTTTAAACCTTTGGATGAAGGGAGTACTACATCAGATGACTGACGTACAAAAGACTTATTTAGGTCACAAACATTCAGCTGGTTATCGTTCCTAATGTGTCTGTCACCAATAAAGTCTTTAAAGAGTTTCCACATACTTCGGAAGTTTTTACAAGACAATAGTTTTTGAGTAAACATAGAGTTGAGACACACAATCACTTGGTTTATCAGACCATTTAACTTACGAACTTCGTTAGTTTTTCTCCCTGTATATTCTTTCTTTCACTCACGTAATCGTTTTAGTTGTGAGGATGTAAATCGATCAAAACTTACGAAAATGGTTTCAGTGGAGCAGTAAATATCAAAACAGAATTTAAGGTAACAAGTGATAACATCAGTAGTGTTTTCGAGTGAGCCATCTGTAAATAATTCCCAGTTAGTCGTATGAAACATGTTTTTCAGATTTCGGATATTGTCTTCTGAGCAATTCCTATATTTGACTTTCTTGGCTTGATGTACAAGTGTGCTCTTCCCATGCTTTCCATATACTTTAGGTAGAACACGAGTTATACAGTGTAAGATCAATTTTTAATGTTTTGTGTGTTGGTGAAAATCCCTCCATGTATATACTTGCAATTCGTTCCTATTGATCACCTTAGTTGTACATTGTTGTCTTTTGATTACATTTGAATTGTTAATACTTGTATTTTTTATTATAGTTTTTGTTTTTCTTACGCATTCGCTAAGTTCGTGTTTCTTCCTGAACTGCATCTGTGTTGTTTTACTTGACACTTGTTCTTGCTCCTCCTTTTGTGTGTGTGTTCTATCCAGTCAGGATAGGATAAAGTTCATTTGTTATGACTGGTAATTTTCCCTCAACTTTTATCAACTTCTTTATTTATTGTAATTTAGATTTTATTGATTGAGAAATTGTTGGTTGAATAGCCGGGTGATAATAATTGTTTAGGTAACGATTTACATTTAAATTTATGGTGAATTATAGAACCGCTATTTACCCGATTACTTGTTTTGATTTTGACGAGCAAGGGCGCGTGTCTAACGTACCTGGACGGCTATTCATCTATCCAAACCGTAGTTTGGATTCTACGTACAGTGATCTGAGCTCGACAATGGAGCACGTTTAGGAGTCACATATATACCCTACGTCTTTGTGCGGTTTTTTGAGGTCGTAACTTTTTTTCACGTGGTATTATTTTATTTTCCTATTAGTTTTTCCCTTTAATTTAACATTTATTAGCGATAAATAATTCATCACTGATAGGGTTCTATCAACTCGACACCTCATTTTGGGACTTAACGTCATACATTAATTTTGCCAGTTTTGACGCTGTCTACCTCTTTTCTCTCACTAACGTTAATGTATTTGCTCTTCACTAATACTGGTTCTGGTCCTATTCTAGAACTTTACACGTCTAATAACTTATAATTGTCGCTGTTCACTTAATTAAACTTTATATTTACATTACTTCCAATAATGTCAAGGCCATCTAAAAAACATATAATCTCTCCTGATGCCTATAGCACCTGCCAATGTTCGAAATCAGCCACTAAACGTAGTACGTTCGAAATACCTGACCCATATCATGGAGGCTGAGACTGTTGTTCTGGACTCAACAAGAAGTGCTAGACAAGAAAAAGAACCGATAAGAAATGTAAACTGCTCATGCGGGTATATGCGTCATTGGTCCGGTCGATAAATCACTTCTCTAATTGGCGGTATCATCACGTTATAAATAAATGGGGTATGAGGCCATAGGATATAATAAAGATCCTTGAAATTCCCTAATTGTGCCCTACAAAAACCTCTATAGTCTTAAGGATGAAACGTTTGAGCCGATCTTTATGATGGACGAATGAATTCTCGATGTAATTGTTTTCTCTGAAACTACAATGTTCTGCAATTGCTGTAGAACACATCTGCATCATGAGTGATAGTTATAAATCCAAGGGAGAAGGAACAAAATAGTGTATTGAAGCTCACATTCGTGTACAACCAAGTACATTGGAGGTCCATGAAAGTGGCACGTGTGAGGTAGCTTGTCGTACGATAAGGTCAGTTAACGGGTTAATAAAAGCAGACGAACGATGCAGTCCATGTTGTCTCACTGAACACGTTGTCTTAAGTCGTATCTGAACGTGAAATAAGAGTCATTGTTGCTTTATCTTTGGAGTCACACATCAACTGGATATAGCTTACAACGTTATGTTGATTTTAAGACAACAGCCTGCTATAAACCAATATTCAGTGAGCGCTTGTACAAAATATTGTAGGACCGACACATTGTGACTTGGAAAATAGACTAACATTCGCAGGCCTCGTGTTTACAGACCAATGTGATGAGGTTAATGATATTCAGCTATTAACCGTACTAGCGAACAATGATCAAGTGGTATTATATTTTATGTTTCAACTATACGATATACGACAGACTGCTCTACTCCGTTTCAGTATCTGGAAGGCTAATATTCCGTGGATGAGAGACTGTGCTACCTTGACAGCTTAGTTGGTCAACGTTGATTGATTGATCGAAGACGAATGGAATCATTTTAAAGATACATTAGAAGTCATAATAATACCGTTTATCTCATGATCGACGCGTGAGATATCAGATTGCCCACTGTAAACCGACAGGGAAAATCTAAAGCTTCTATGGTGTATGAAACACTTCTGAGTGTCCTTTAAGTCAATGGGTCACGCATCATTTGACAGTGAAAAATCTGAATTATATGTGAAACAGCCATTTCTGGAAGCCAAAGTGCTAACGGAAGACTACTTTCACTCAACAGCCGTATTCGTCCGCAGTGATTTGTTCCATACATTAAGCCAAAAACGGAACACATTGATGGAATTCCTCTATAATTGTTGAAGAAAATTTTACGTTCAATATCTGAATGACATATGATTGAACCTAAGACTTGATAAATTCATCTCAGCGAGGTCTACACAATGGATGTTTTTACAAACACTAACTATAACCGCTTTTCTGAGGTACTAGTCATAGGACCAATGCATGCGGATTAGGATCCCTCAATCACTCATTAACCTTAGAACTGATCAGTCACCAAGTCCTGATGGATTACGTCCATAATTTTGTCATTCCTCGTCGACAAAATTTCAGGATCATTCACGATGCTGTTCAACAATTCATTTTCCTAACCGTAGCCCAACAACCAATCTATTAGTCTGACATAGCAGTCGGGATATTACTGAAAAATGATTCGTTCAAATTTGTAAATATGTCAACTAAAGGACAACATGTATTCAAGACAAACATTTTTGCTTGATCTGCTTACTAATTACGAGAGGTAGTTACCGGGAAGCTATCATAACGGTTTGTTTGACGACAGGATATCAGTGCATTCTACAAAGGCCTTTGATATTCTGTCCTACCTGAGGCTTACGCAGAACCTGTGGATATTTTCGGAAAGCTCTGTCATGTAAAAGTTTGATACAGAGGATGAAGGTGTATTTGGCACTAGCTGAGTGAAAACTAGCGAAAAGTGATGTGCTTTTAAACACAATATCAGTTCTCC